TTTGCGCGCCGAAAAATTCACGTAGAGCCCGAAATGCATTTTTTCTTGGTCGACCATTTTCATAATAGGCTTGCCCAATTTTTACACGTTGTTCAGTCGTATATTGCTCCATGACTAATTTTGTTTATGTTTTGAGGTTAGAAATCTCATATGATAATAATCAAATACAGTGGCGTTTCAAAAATATTTTAGATTGTAATGTGGAAACTGTTATTGAATCACCCGTTACTTCCTATAGAAAATTGGTTTTCAATTAAAAATAACCTAATGATTAACATATTTATAGATAATTTATATATTTTATTATATTCAAATGTGGATTTAGATTTAATAGATATTATAAAATGTGCACTTAGAGAAATATGATTCGTGGTAGTATGTTATAGGCATATATAGTGTGCAGAAAAAATAACAGAAGGTCAATGTATGTTAAATTATGAGTTTTATTTGCTAAAATCGGGAGCGGCTAAAAAATATAAAATTGGTAATTACATAGAATGGTACAGCAACTTTATGATCTATAGAAGATTTGCAAACACTATAGCTTAAAAGATACATGATTAAAACAATGCGTTTTTCTGCTTTACTCGGAAATGAGATATTCAATTGTTTTTCCACATTAGCCATCTTAATCAGTATAAACATATTATATTACTATCCTAATTTAACCAATAATAATAATTAAAGCAACAGTGTAATATAATGAGACAATTTCGTACAGAAAAGAATATTTCATTCTGCCTAATTTTAAAAGACTGGAGGCAAATGGATGTTGAAAGCTTCAATGAAAAATGTTTGCGGCCAATTTTTCAAGGATTAAAAAGCTCAATAAAATGAGGTAGCAAGACGTAGACATTTTATCCTTGAGATTTGCGAACATCAGCATGCAGGAAAGTAAATACTTAAAATAGCCGGGGCGACCTCGTCCTTCGACATCGAAATAGGCAAAATCGCTGCTATGTAGAAAGGGGAAAAAAAAGGACGACCGAAAACAAAAAGGCGGCCATTGTGGTAACCGGTAAAAAGTTACGGGGCGATTAAAAGCATTTCCAGTCGCGGACTTGTCAAACACTATTTCGGGTTTTATATGCCGGCGGACCCCAACTTTTTAACCAAAACGAAACAAAACGATCGAGTCGCGGTTCCTTTTGGACCGGCATCTAATTAAATCTATTCCCGTGAATATCCCAACGCGGACGTGAGAAAAAATCATGCGGCTGATTTTATCGGGTCGAATTTATCGTTCAGAAAATAATATTGTGACACGGTTTTTTGTGTCCGCTCGTCTACGATCTTTAAAGTTATTGGTTTTAGGATGTACGGGGATAGTATGGGTAGATACTAGCTTATATAGATAATAATATGGAAGCCGTAAATACGGTAACTTTGGTACACATTACGCGACATTTTAGTACGGGAGGGAATGATCTTCAATTTCAAGAAAAATATTAAATAAAAAGAAATATAAATTAGGAAGTATCCCTGTAAGACCTTTCAAAAATAGACCGCACAGCATATTCTCGACAATTCTTGTTGGCCAGAACCGTAACACTTTCTTTTATTTAAATTAAATTAAATGAAAATATTCCCATTATTGTTAAAAAATAATAATAATAGATAATACACATAATAAACACACTTTCAGACAGAACTAGATATGTATAATATTAAATAACATTAAACAAATTAAATAACCAATAGAAACCAAAATTAGTTATGGTTTTTCCTATATGTTTTGAAATTTCAATTTAATTATTATTTATTTTTGAAAATTTAATATCATTTAAGCAAACTTTGAAAAAAATATTGCCATAAAAATAGAATAAAATATATAAATACTAAAATTTCAATACATTTAATTTAATTAAACCTAAGACTAGACCTAGTCAAATTTTCAGCTTTTTTTTTTGGTTTGTTTATTTTTGAAAATTTAATGGCATTTGGGAAAACTTTGAAAAAATACTGCCGTAAAAATAGAATAAAATATTAAAATGTACCTCTACCAAGGACTAAGCCTAGCACCTTGTCAATTTTTCAGTTTGTTTATTTTTTGAACATCGATGCACTTTTCTTTTGGGAAATCTTCATTTGAACTAAACAACACCACAATAATAATAACGATTCTAACTTTAACAATAACAAAAAATAATACCACTCTAGCAAAATCTCGCAAGACTGACAGCTTAAAGACGTTATCTGACATTTCTGAACAAAACAGGCAACCATATATGCAATAAAAAAAATATTAACAAAAACACTAAATGGTGTCAAAAGTAACAATTTCGAGTGTTTCGGAAAACGCGAAGACTTTGCTTTAATTGATACGACCTGTCAAGAATTAGTTTTAAAACTAATGAACTGTTTGATTTTAAAATATTAAAACCATAGACCATCGCAACTTTGACAATTTCTACGTGCGCATTTGAAAATTAGTTATTTATATTACAGAAAACACTTTCTTAAAGTATTTGTTTTTAAAGTTTTCGTCCTATCAAAAAGAAACTCTCCGTATTATCAATTATCAATTTTTCAGTGTTTGAAAAAATAGGGAACTATTTCAAACTTTGTTTGAGTATCCGGCAACTTCTCTGAATTAATCATCTCCCTACAATAAAATCAACTAAACCTTATTTGGTTTTAACATGTCTAAATCATATTAATTTTGATAACTTCTATGTAGGGGCGTTGGAACATTTTCTTGGAAATCGACTGTTTAAGATAAATGTAAATAAAATCACATTACTAAAGTCTAGTCTATCGATGTAGTTTGGCTCCAATTCTTTTAAATTAGGGTGGGTAAAAACAAAGTTGGAAAAATTTAAAAAAATTATATATTTCATATTTTTAAAAACGACATTTTTTAAATACGTTTTATAAAAAATGTAAATTTTGACAGGTAGGTAAAAACCAATGTTTAAAAACTTTCGTAAACATTAAATACAAATTATCATCATTATCAAAATTTGCCAAAACCAAATTATTTTTTCGTATTTTTTTTTTTATAAATACGCATCATAACTTTTAGAGGTGAGTAAATAACAATATCCAAAAAGTCAGCGACCTACCTTCTGGGACGGCACTAGAGGTCACAATTTGAATCTAGTTTAATGTCTAACATATTGCAAAAAGCCTAGGAAATTAATCATTTCCGGAATTACGTTTATACCAACTTTTTTTTGGATGACGAATCTTCAGTCCAGCGTTAGGGCATGTTTTTTGGAACGCTCTGTATATGTAATTCTTATAAAGACATATAGCGGTGTCCTTTTATCGCTATTTACAGGATGATTAAAAAAAAATCGGCAATCTCTAAACTGGAGACGTTCAAAGTTTAACTAAGAATTTTTCATAGTGGAATACTAAAAATTGTCAGGTTTGGTTTTGCTTATTGCTCCTAGAGGGCTTAAGTTTCACCATATTATTTTTTGTATAAATGTATAAATACTTAAAAGATGAGCAGGTACGGCGAACAATAAAAAATCAATATTTAACAATAACAACTTTGGTAATAGTAATAAAAAACTTCCATCAAATGTTGCGTGTTACTACTTGTCCAAACATATTAGCTGATAATCAGAAAATGGCGCGAAATTCATTTTTCTCATAGTGAGAGCGTGATATGATTTCTGTTTTGGCTCAAGCTAAGTTTAGTGGACTTGAGGAGTCCCAAATATAGAATATACTCGAAACTGTTGTAATTGACACCGAATCATGGTGTTCACTGTGAATGAAAGAGACTAAATTATAATTCATGTTTCGAAAAATTCAATTCAATACAATTTGCTCAACAAACTGAAAATGGAAATTTCCTTAATAAAATCCTTAACCGATGATGCTACAATTACAAATCTTTAATTGAAAAAATAATCATTTGTGGGATTCAGAGAATCATCAATATTGGGTTTTGTGGAATTCCTATTTTTTTTTATTTAAACTTCATTCGTATTGTATTAAGAGAAAATTTGGTGTTTGAGGTATCTCCAGTTTAAAGGTTGTTTTCTTCATAAATCGCCCTGTATAAGGGCGCCCGGTGTATCCCGCAAAAAAAAAATCGAATAGCCGACATGATGATTCTCTCTTAGTGCGCCATCCCCATCTATTTTATCTCTCATCAAAAATGGATACGTACATTTTCCTTAAGATTTTTTGTCCGAAACCCCAAAACCTTTCTTCATTTACTCCCTTAAAGACCATGCTTCGCAGCCATACATTACTACTGGTCTTGTTATGGTTTTATACATCTCTAACTTTGCTTTTAGGAGTTCATGTAAGGAAAAAGTACGACTATTTCCTACTTGTATTCTGAAGTTTGTCTCCTTTTTCGAAATATTCGGCTATGGTGACATTTTGCCTTATACCATGCCTGATTAAATGATTAGCTATAAACATTGCTTTCGTTAACTCTTCACTATCTTCAAAAGCAAGGAAGGTACTTCTTTATATCTAGTGAGGTCTTGCCAACTATGTTCACATCATCCAGGGAAGGCTCAAAAAAATGCAAATATAACACACTTAAAAACAATTTTAAAAGTAAAAAACGGAATGGAGTAAGTGGTGTCCAAAGTTTTAAAAACTAAACGAAACTAATAAATATAAAAAAAATAAAAACGTACAAAATCGAAACAACAATTATAACAATGATAATAATAATAATGATTTAAATGACCTTCCGCTTTCTAAGCATTAAACTCAGCACACTTAACTCATTTTTTTTCGTTTTGAAAATTTAATGGCATTTGGGCAAAAAATTCTGCTGCAAAAAATGAATAAAATGTAAAAAGATTAAAATGTACCTCTATCTAGGACTAAACCTAAGAACCTAGTCAAATTTTCAGTTTGATTATTTTTTAAAATTTAATAGCATTTGGGCAAACTTCAGAAGATGTACCACTCGCATTAAGAGAAAATTTAGTTTTGGGGTATCCCCAGTTTATAGATTGTCTTCTTCATGAATCGCCCTGTATAATGGCGAATAACCGATATCATGGATACCAACTAACCCGGTCATATTGATGGGCAGCACCGAACGGCGAGCTAAAAGGTCCCGTCCTCGGTACAGGATGGGCTGATACGGGAGGCGCAGCCCCAGCACGCTGGTACAAGTACGGATAATACGCCTGGTACATAACTTCAGAACAACTCATTATATACATAAACACATTTGAATTCGTTCCGATGGGTCGTCCGGTCGGCGTCGCACTTAACCGATTTCCACCAAAACGCTCATCCGACGGGAACTCTCGTCGCTTCCGGAAAAATCACAATACGTTAACCGCGCATTCCCGGACTGTTACAATAGTTAATCCACGCTCATCGTTAATTAATCTGCCGCTGTTTTTCGCATCTGTGGGTGCTGTTATTACGCGAAACCGGCGTATCGAGTCTCGTTACGTCACCGCGACCAAATCACAACGTTCACTCCATACGCAAACCGGTACTGAACTAACTCCCAGTCGCGTATAAAAATTCCTCACCCTTAGGTTGGCGCTAGGCCACGCCCACGAACGCCCCACTTAATATTCGGCCGGGTAACGCCTTCCGCGCCAGTGATTACGGCATTCCTGAGCCGGAGACCAATGAGGCCGCGGCTGAAAATGGTCCTGACCAATGTCGCGATTAGTCTCCGAGAGGTATATTGACCGCCTAGGCCAGGTTTTATATTAAATAATTGTTAGAAAAGGGGTTATGGAGTATACGCGGAGGCCATACACACACGCCGCCTCATTTTAAGCTGACTGATTCGGTGTTCGCTCTTCATTAATTCTGTGTTGGGCGATGTAATTTTTGGTTTTTGTTCGTGTGTTGGCCGCTCGGACGGTCTTTTTATCGGGCGATTTGAATGAGAAGAAACACTAGGTCTCAAGTGACATGCATTCATGAATTCATTCATAAAGTTGGTTTTCGAACAAACGTGTGCAGTATAATGCACCACTTCATTCCCGAAATAGAGTTTGTTCTATATATAGTCTGCTTCAGAAAGGCGTAGAGTAACAAAACCTCATTAAATATGATAAGTCTACAGAGTGAGCCACCGAATACTGCAGCCACTTTCAATGTTTGCCATTGCAAAATTCTTCCTTTTGATCGGATGCAAACCACCCTGGCTTTCGTGAACTTATAGGTTTTACGTAGGGTAAAAGTGGGATAGACGCCCTTGGAGGATAGACGCCGCACCTTAAAAAAAGAGAATTTAAAACCAAGTTCACGCTCTAGTACCAAGTTCCTCCGACAAACCTCGCCCCGCACTGCACAGTCTGCGCACGCGTTTCGACAGGACTGCAAGTTTTTTTAGAGCCGAATATCTACAAATCTACGGTATGCATTGAATGATGATATGAGTAGATAGTAAGTATAAGGACTATAGTTGTTACAAATAGTCAACTCACTCGAATAGTGCTTTAAAAAAAGTTATAGTCAGCTTACAAACTATCCCACTTTTACCCTATTGTAACCCATTCACCAACTCCACTCGTAAAAAGCAAAGAATTTAATTTTAAAGGAATAAAAATTGGATAAGTGATACAAAAATAATGTTATCCTTCGTCATCTGACATTAGAATTAAGAAATCAAGTTCTTACATTTGGTCCTTCTCATTAATAACATCCTGGATAACTTTTCGGCAGTTCTCTGGTGAATTGAACCAATTAACAAAATAAATAAGAACTAAAAGTTCAGATTTTCTCGAAATTATATATATTCACATGACAATTGTTTCGACAGCACTGTGTTTTAATCAAATGTAATATTTACAAACTACCTGCTACTATGTATACCGAAAAATGATAATAAACCTTTAATTAATGTTGTTGTGAGAATTTAAGTTTAATAATGGGGAGGTATTTAAACCTAATCGATCGTTAAGCAATACATTTGAATGTCTCATTTTGTTAATCTCCATGGCTTCCAATTAATTTAATTTTCTACTTTTTGTAGCTGTATGTAAAATATCAAAATTGTCGCCAAAAATGTGTTTTTCTGTGTTTAAGTTTTAAGTTTATTGCTTTTAAACGTTCTTTTATGTTCGATAATGCGTTTCTTGAAGGATCTACCTTTTTGTCCAATATAAATTTTAGGACATGATCCGCATTTCTGACTTTTAGTTCTCTGGTGTCCTCATCGTCTTTCTTAAAACGATGTTTTTATATATTTGCTACATGTGGAGTCTCCTCTATGCGTCCTAAGCGATAAATTGAATTTTCCATATCTGCTACCGAATCAGGAGGAGGATATTCATATCTTTGTGGTAATATCCCGTAAGGCAATACTGGTTAAGCAATCCTTATTTTAAAAATGCCTTTTTGTTTTCAAGATGGACGATTATCAGAAAAAACGGAAATGTTAAAACAAGGAAGGCCAAAGATCTTACACACTTTTGCAGGTCCATTTTCATAATTTTCTAGATGAGGATTTAAGGCACACTTAAGTTTCTTAAAAAAAAAATTCTATCTAAAAAAATAAATAACTTAATAAATATAAACGCATAAAGAAAAAAAAGCAAAACGGAATATTAGAAAAATATATTTAAGACTAAATAACAAAGAAAAGTAGAGAATGTTAAAAGTAAAAAGTCTAAGATTTACAACATTTCTTTATTTTCAATGTCAAATTTAAAATACAATTGTTTTGTTTTAAAATTATTATATAATATAGGTTTGAGTTTGTATTTTATATAAATGAAGAATTTTCACTTGTTTAATTTTATAGATATACTGAATGTGATGTATTATACTGAATAAGTACATATTATTAATGTTATATGTTATATTTCTTCTGCAGCAGAAACGGTCTCTTCCGTTTTCGTAAAAACACCTTAACACTCGTTAACTGACCTTTCGTAAAAGTTTGGTTACATTTTTGTCTAGCCACATTTTTGGTAATATATAATCTTTATTTATCCACGTCTCAAAAATAAAATATTTTTTCTGTTTTCTTGATTACTGCTTCATACTTTTCAAGTACGTAAGTCACCACCCAACAATCTCATCGCTTTCTAGTAAATGAACTTTAGGGTTATCCAAATGACTTCCGAAATTCATACTGTTTAAAGCGGTCCATAAAAGTTTTTTTATTATCAACGCAATAATTGCCATTCTGGCTAAGCACTATTAAAATCCTGTGGGTGAGTATTACAGTTTGGTGACTTTATTAAGACCACTTACTGGCCTGACTGTACTTTTCTTAGGAGGTTCTACTCGACCTTCGTCTTTCTCTAACACAATAATTTAAAAACGGTAGACTTCCCAACTCTAGTCATTCCCGAACATCGGTCCACAGTTTTTTAATCGAATATTTTATAAAATTATATACCTGATCTAATCTAATACAAAAATAATTTTCAAAATGTTTATTTTTATTTATTTATTGTTATTATTATTAGAAACCAATAAAAACGCATATCTAATCAATTTTTTACCATATTCTTACCATAAAACATAATAGTAATTAACGTCATAAAACAATAAAACACATATTTCATATTCATATTTCATATTTTTTAGTTTAGATAGCGTTAATTTAAGTTTAACTCCTGCACTAATTGTATGTTCATTTTTACTATATGGGCCTTCACGCTAGTCGGAATTTTATAAAAATTATGTTTTTGACGAATTTATATTTAAAGTGCACAGGATACTTTTTAAACCCATTTGAACCCCCGTCTTTCGACGTTAGGCAATAAAAAAAGTTGTATAATTTTTATTTTTATCAATAAACACTGTTCTAATACAGCAAAAACAGCCAACCACAATCTCCAAATGGCATTTTGAGACATCAAATAAATTTTCGAAGCTTCGTTAAGAACATCAAAGAAACTTCCACTGAGGTGTCGCTCCAGTTTCAGTTGAGCTCTGAAGAAGCCAACAAGATTGTTGGAATAATTTCTTGAAATTCTCAAAATTTGCCATTGTGTGTTAAGCAAAATCGCTATTTGAACTGTACACATCATATGGTTTTGCGGATGAAAATTTTATCGAAAAGTAGCGGTCCATTGTTCTATTTTTTTCCGTTGTGACTGTCTGATCACTTTTGTGTCGTATTTCCATCGATTTTCAATATTTACTTTGCTTTACTTTATTTATTTTGGGTTGCAACGGAATTTCCATATTTCATCTTCAGCGCCAGCGTAGGAACAGCGAGCCCAACGTTTATACGTGAGGATCCAGCTTTCCGTTGACATTGAATACAAATAGTGACAATACAGACACTCTGCGTCTTCTTCACTTGAAGAGTGCTCGTTTTTCTCAGAAAACTTTTCAGTCGTCATTTTTTCTATTTTTATCATATTTTTATAATAATGAATAATGACTTTGAACAAGGTTGGTTTCTTAGGCTTGCAAATGACTCACCAGAATATCTGCTTCCATCGTAATTAGGTCTAGAGTTTAAACTGATTAAACCCTCCGAGATAGCACACAATATCCCCAGTATATCTGGCCAATGTCCCATTTAAGTCGCATGTCCCGGGACATGTGGAGGATATTCTTAGGATATACGTTAGCATATATATTAAGGATATATTGTAAAATACATCCCAGGGATATGCTCTAAATGGATAATTTGAGGATTTATTGTACACGATATACCAGAGATATCCTCTGAATTGTAAATAGATGGCCTGAGGATATATCCTTTCGCAATAATAGGAACATTAGACTAGAAGGAAAAAAAGTTAAAAAAAAAATCAGCTAGTTTTGTTCAAAACTGTGTTGTGCTGTTGTTATTTCATTTTTTGTACAAAAATCTCTTGATCTCAAAACAAAATGTAACCTGAAATGTTAAATTTTGAACAACTGAGTAGGAAATTACTTAGTTTTTTTTATTTGTGGTGTTTTGGGAGACATTTTATTTGCAACATTTTTGTGCACATCTCCATCAACGTCCGCGTTACCAAGTCCTAAAAAAACCGGAATCAAACCGTTAAAATTAACTTGTGTTTATTATTTTTGGATACGAATAATAATATTATTAAAAAAAATAATGAAAATACCACTGAAAATACGGATTCATGTAAGCAAAAAAATTACAAACACAAAAATAATGTATTTGTTTAAAAGATCCCATTTGACACACGGCTGCAACCAATGACGCACCTACTCGGTCGTGCCGTGCCGCCTTCGCTCGACTATCATCATAGTCGAGCGAAGGCGAAGGCTTCTCCTCCGTTTTGTCATCCGCCATATTTTCAGTCTTTTTTTGTGGCCACTATACGGGATACAGTGATTTAGCGTCTATTTTGAGTATTTTGTGCGCTGTGCTTAGTGCTTTCAGTGCTTGCATTTCAGTTACTTTTTTGTGGTATTATTATTACTGAAGAACTAATAATTCAATTAAGTAAAGCTTTATGGTAAAATATAACATTAAATTTGATAAATTCTAAGCAGAACGAACCATTCTTGTGTAGTCTACACTACAGATAGCAAGATCAGGCGGCGGCAGCAGTTATGAGTTGATAAAATGAGCTCCGACTATGCTGATTTCATATTAACTAGCAATGAAATTTAATTGGTTGGGCATGAAGAAAAAAGAGGAATTTTCAAAATTAAAATTGGTGAGTAGGTATTATGTTTTTTAGAAATAAATATAACGTAAATGTAACATAAATAAAGTATAAGAAATCTAATTTAATAAAATATATTATGGTGATTGCTTAGTTGATATTTTTTTAACGAGTGACTGCTGGACCGAGTTAAGGTGAAGCTGACTTTTTTGTAACCTATTTGCCTATATTATAGGTTTTAGATTACATATCTTTTTTGCTTCTAGACTTCTTTTCGTATCTTACTGCTTAGTCTTTGAAAACCAAAATAAAATCCACTTTCTCTTCATGATTTTTGAGCAGTTAATATTAGGTATACAAAACTAAACTAATTTTTTATTTAAGTAAACAATGTTGGAGAAAATCTCTCAGAAGAAAATTATATTTTTAGTTATACAATTTAAAAAAATATGTAAATTATTTTATTTTCAGAAGAGTATTTTTTCTTAAAATGGATCCAAGAATCACTCCCAAAAAACAAAGTATTCATTTTAGGAATCACCCTGCATAAAGTACAATTTTCACATTAAAACGATTGTTGAGTCAATTTGTGAAAACTTTTTAAGGCTTGTCCTGCTGCTGCTGCTGCTTAAACCTATCTTTCTTAAAACTATATATTTTCAGATGCGGATAAGAAGGCAAACACATCACAAACGTCAAAAGAATATGAGAATTCAATAACTGTTTGTCTGAAAAGAGCTACTTTCACCTAAGAAGAACTGCAAAATTGTCAAATATTAGATATTCTGTTAGTTTGGTTCAAGATATAGTACCTTATATTTAAGATACTTTAGATTAGATTATTCTACATTTTTGCTATATTATATACCTACAGTTTTTTCATATCTACAATAGAAAAAAATCAGATGTGTATAAAATGTTTTTTATTAATGGTATCATTCGGCAGTCCTTCACTTATACCAATAAAAGCATAATTAAAGATTAAATAATTATTGGAAGAAAACTTGTCCATTTCAAATATGGCCTGTTATTTCAGTGATGACTTCGCCAACCATACCCAATAAGTAAGTTCCACTGGTATATCCTATATAAGGTCATATATCCTCGCAGTCAGATATACTAACGATCCCTGAACTAATATAACTGGATATCCTTAGTATGTCCTAAGAAACATCCTACGGACATACCTATCGGATATACTGTGGACGTTTAATGGATTTTGCATCACGATAATGTATCTACTCACTCATCATTGCTTGTGTTGAACTTTTTGGCAAAAAACAACACCACCTCAGCCACCATATTCACCGGATATGGCTTCCAGTGACTTTTTCCTGTTCCCAAAACAAAAAAATCGCTGGAAAAACTCAAGGCTATACCAGAAAGTGCATTAAAAAAAATGTTGGCACAAGTATATTATATCTGAGCTGATTACTTTGAAGGGGACAACTTTAACTTTGATAAATAAATAAATACTTTTTCATAAAACTTCAAAAAAAGTCACCTTATTTTTACAACTCACCTCCTAAGTAATTTATCTATGTGTATGGTTTTTACATTTTAAAGATGCTATGATAGATTTTTAATATATAGAAAATTGTTCAATATTTTTTCAGAGCAAAATAACGCCTATTAGAACAAAAAACACATTACTTAGAAGAAATTAATCCATGCTTGACATTTGTTGACATTGTAAAACCAATTTTTCATTTATAATAATATAATTCCGAAGCAAAGTATTAATTGTGTTTCAACATTTTTATATCACTGACTTATAGTTTGAAAAAATACAAAAGTAAGGAAAGTTCATCACATTTTATTAGCGCAAATTAAAATAAAAATTTATCTGATGCTGTGGGTACAACCTGTTATTTTTCACTGGTCAGTTGCATAAAACAAACAAAATCTAAGCTAAAAGTGCTAAACATATAAGATTCATTAGAAAAAGGTTACTTAAATATTCATATAAATTGGGTGGATCTTTTTTATATTAACCGATTTTCGGCATGTCGGACATTTTTTAATTGACTTTGCCACTTTGGTTATGCAGGGTTTGCAAAAAATATGACCACAAATTGTAGTCATAATTTGGACATCGGCCGCAAAAGGATCCAGACAAATTGGACATGATGGACCTTCTGGTGATTTTTTCTAAAAAAGAAACACTTCTAACTTAGCTTGAGGGAATGCAAATTTTTAAATATTACTTTTACCTCTTCTTCAGCCTTTTTCAATGCAATAAAGTCGTTGAGAAGGGAGGACACATTCCCAAGTATTTGCTCACTTTCTTTCTTCATATCTTCTAGGCTAACAAATAAAATAATGTAACGAATGTACTAAGAAACATAAAACTGTGACACTAACCTCTTTGGAGCAAGCTGTGTAGGTGACATTTTTTGTTTTGATGTATTTACATCACTACTATCACAGTCTTTTAGGATATCATCCACTATGGTAAACAGATCAGAATTTCTAGAAACCAAAGTTCATTTCATTAAATTCTTATCCTAATTTACTTCTAAAACATAAGTACTAAGAAAAAAAAACAACAAACAAAATCAATATCATGAGTGTGAAACACTACTCACTTTTCATTTGTTTTCTGAGAAGGCACATTTGCTCTTTTGGTTGCCATTTCAGCAAAAGTACTTAAACCATTAGTACCAGCTTGAATAGAAGGTCCAGCCTAAAATTATTCAAAAATGAACAAATTATCGAATAGATATTTATTATATACTAGATAAATTGAATTTTATACTTTAAATGCAACTTACCTCAATATCATCACCATCAGAAAGAACAGTATAAAAGTCATCATCTTTTTTGTTTTCAGGTTTTTGGGTCAATGTAAGAATTTTCTCAAACTCATCCTCACTACTTTCGATTTCTTGAAAAAAACTATCAAGTCTGTTTTTAATGTTGCTCACCTGGGAATTGGACACATCAGCATTCTAAAAAGAAAACAACAACCATTTATTTCTATGCAATATTAAGCAAAATTAAGTACCTGTTCTTCATCAGAATCCAGATTAACAACTTTTAAGGTCGGCACTGAAGAGCTCTGTTTCTTTTCAGGCTTCTTACTCTGAGAGCAGTTCAAAGTCGAAGAGTTATTAGATGAAATTAATGCAGCTGATGAGGAAACAGTCTGTTGCAGTAAACCAAACCCCACAGCCCGGTTGTTATTGCGCCTTCTTTTTTTCGGACGTTCAATCGCCATGAACAGTCCTAGAATATTATTAAGTAAACCCTCTTCATAGTCACTATCCTCTCCACTGTCAATTTCAAATAAAATGGGAGGTTTTACAGCTTTGCTGTTGGTAATGGCTGCTATACGTTTACTTCTCCTCGGACTCATAATTAATCATAAAATATTCCAGCAAAAATAGCAAAAACGATTTTTCACAAATAAACCGGCGCTGAATACAATACAATACAAAAACAATGAAATTACCACAGAATACTTCTTCTTCTTCTTTCTATTTTTTCCCCTTGGCATATCGCCAAGGACAGATATAACAGAGAACTTATGAGTTCCACTGAAAGCAGTATCTAAATTATTAGACACAGCATTTTTCTTCTTTGTGCTTAATTGGGCTGGCTCATCTTAAATTCGGATATACACCCATTTTCCGGCATCCGCCGAGGAAAATTAACCGATAACAATTTTTCACGCACACAACACCGAAGGGTTGTGGGAATCGAACCCACAACCTCCGGCAAGTTCGAGTTGGCAGGTCAACGCTTTACTAACCAAGCCATCCTCGGTCCCTAGGCACAGTATTTAAATTGTACTGTTGGTTGCCTAATCGACAATATCCGGATAAAAAATATAAAGATGTTGGCATTTCCCTAGTCATTAGTCATTGTTTGGAACAAAATCGATAAACACATTTTGTTAGGGAACGCAAAAAATTTTTCGACAACGAAAATCAAAGTTAACAAGTTGTCTCGATTTTCAGGTCCTGTAGTTTCTTAAATTAGCCAAATGTATTCGCATGTAATTATTTCCTACAACCATTAAGTTTTAATGACAATCGGTAGTTATTTCGCAATCAAGTAAAATTAAAACAAACACTGGGGGAAGCTGAGATTTATACCTAATAATATTTTAAAATAAACTTTCGGTATGCCTTAACGAAAAACACATGTTTCAGTTTATATTGCACAAGTGAAAGGCATAAACAAAATAAGCTTGGTTTAAATAGCAGTAGTCTGTGCCCATTTTCTGTCTACTGTCGATTAATTTAATCTCATTTTACTTTGGAATTTTATTTATATCTATTTCTCTAACAAATATTATTGTTTCCTAAGTTTAGTTTATTTCTAGAATTGGCAAATTCACTGATCACGTTATTACCTGGGTGACGCATACCCATTGCAAATGTTCTCAGGTTAAAATTTAACGCTTTGTTAAATCTGAAATAATCACCTTCCTACGTTAATAATGCTGCCAAATATCATCGTCAGCATAACAAAAAAAATATACCAAAGACGAGACCGTAGTTATTTTTATTTATTGCCGTATTTTTTGCAACCTTTAAAATTATCATCATCATCATTTCTTTCATCACACCACCCATTTTGCGGAACAGGCGTACATACTTATTTTAAACATAAAAATGATGTACTTGCAAATTACTCACTTAATACCTATATCAGAATAACATTTACAGTTTTTTACAAAGAAAAAAATAAAATTAAAAATATTTATTAGCTACAGCTGTTAATTATTAAATATGATACCAACTGAAGAACTAAAAAAATTAAATTAAAAATAATTAATAGTTATAATTACCGAGGTATTCATATGCCAAAGTTTCCAAAACTTGCATTTATGATGTTCTACTTAAATATTTACAAAAAAAAACGTGTATTGAAATAATTTACTTAAAAGTCTTGACGAATATTTTAATTATATCTGAACAATATCTGTTGTATCCCCTATGCACAACAATGAATGAACAATGAAAGTGGTTCAAAATTTACTAAAACTAAATTACTAAAATTTCCTTCAATAAGTATGCGTAAGCGTTTAACTGGGATACTTTCGCGAAATATTTTGATTTAATGATTTTTTTGATAAATTTAATGGCTTTGTTTGCATAGAAAAGAGAGGTGACTGTTTTTTGTTGTTGCAGTACCTACCTATTTATCTTTTCTCTTACGCAGTCCTATTCACTCCTAGTCCCCTTGATTTCCAAATAGTGAACTAAATTGTGAAGCCAATTTTAACGGGTATTATTTTCTTTGTCATACACGTTAATACTAAGGACACTAAAGTGTAAAAAAAGATTGTTTTTATATTGTTTCATTTTGTCTACCTATTTGAGGCTTTTGAGGTTGAATTATTGGCTAGAGGGTATTCAATCGTTTATCCTCCTTTAAAATAAACTAACTAATAATTTTATGTACCTATTTGCTTACTAAAACAAAAGTTTGTTTTGGGGAAGTAAAACAATAAAATGCGGCGTTCGCGGGGTTGTTTTGCCTTCATTAATAAAAGTCGTATCGTTGCTTTCCGCAAGATGATTTTTTTTGCGATTATGTCAAAAAATGCCACCTGGTGGTGATCACTCATAGCATAGCACCTAGGAAAATCCACATTTTTAATGATTCCAACTTTTATAAAATACTAATGGATATATGGACATTTATTTAAGAAAATGTTCCAAGAGATGGAGTAAACAGCATTTGTTTCAGTTTCGAAACAGCGTTTTCTGTTGACCGATTTACCCAATTATTTATTTTTTAATTTCTAAGACTGTCCGTTTCCCTAATACCGTATCTGGTTGCCCTTACTAGGACACCCGGTATAAATAAAGTAATAATAATAATAAATAAAAATTTTAGTTTGATTTTATTATTTGTATCAGATCGTAACCGATATGTGTGGGTAATATTAAGAAATAAAAATATAATAAGAAAATTTGTTTTTTTTCTTTTCCAGGAAATAAACATATTACTTAAATGTACATATTCCAATTATTTTTTTATACTTAATAAACATTTTGGACTTAATATTTAAATAAGTATGTGTTAGATTATTATAAATTTTACTTACAATATTACAAGTATTTAATGATCAAACAATACGATAAATGATTAAATAAAGTAATTATATTACAAGAACACCCCATTCTTCTTTTATATAAACGAGCAAGAGATACACAAGAAACCCCATCATCTTTTTCTTTCTTCTTTTTCATCTTTCTTCTTTTTGGTCCATTGTTGGTAAATCGGACTATTTTTAATAACATAAATTAAAATAAACATTCGTATATCTGATATCTACGTGACTTTTATAAAAACAATTATAAAGTAATAACCTTATGTTTCTAGACAATTAATTCTACCATTACATATTATATATTATATATTATAACAATTTAAAACAATATATTGGATTAGATGTCAATTTCACAAAACAATCTAAAAAAAAGCGCTGTAAAAATAAATTTCAAAGATTGTTCAACGTCTGCTATACGCCCGAATCTGTCAACAAACATTTCGCCGATTCAGCTGAAAATACTGAAAGGAATGCAGCCGCGCACGCTGATCGTGTTTACACTAAAATATTGCCCCAAGGAATGTAAATTTCAGGCGCAGGTCCCACTCAATTCGAATTCAGCGTTAAAAAGTTCAGGTGAACGCGGAATCCCGTGAGTCAGTTGCCGACCGTCGAGTTTTAAGTTTGCGGCGCGTTTGCTGAAATTTTGCGGACGCACTGCGAGTTTTTCTTTGTAACGGAGACCCTGAACACTCAGTATACAGGTAAGTTATTCGCGTGCCATTTTCCCTTTTAGAGGCGCGTGTGTTGTGCAAGTTCGTGAACATTTTTTGTTTGAAATGGTTTTTCTAAAGAACAAATCTTCAGTTTTCCCCCTTAAAATTGGTTTTAGTTCAAAGATGCCATTCTAGAAAGAAACTAATCAAAGAATATAATAGAAGAAAATGAGAGTCTAATGTATTGTTTGAATTGCTTAACTTTGACTCTTCAAACATTTTCCTTTTTTTTAAATTAAACTTCAGTGCAGGCCAATTGCGGGGTTTCAGTTTGTTTGTACGCTTGTAGGAATGTTATGCGAATCATGCGGTAAAAAATTTTTTTTTTTGGAAAGATTTAAAAAACATAAATATAAAAAAATAAGAATTTTTGTTGAAGTTGATAGTGTGGTCATTCAGAATTTTGATACGGTTTGAAAGCAGAATAATATAAAGATGGATTTTTTAAATTTATTTTGATGGCTTACCAAACCTATTGAAAATAGTATAAAATCTTTATATACATATATATATATATATATATATATATATATATATATATATATATATATATATATATATATATATATATATATATATATATATATATATATATATATATATATATATATATATATATATATATATATATATATATATAAGATGACACTATATTCCAAGCGAGCGGATGATATCCCGGAATATAGTGTCATCACATTTTTCCATCCGTGAATCAATGCGTGAAAAAAAAAAAAAAAAAAAAAAAAATATATATATATATATATATATATATATATATATATATATATATATATATATATATATATATATATATATATATATATATATATATATATATATATATATATATATATATATATATATATATATATATATATATATATATATATATATATATATATATATATATATATATATATATATATATATATATATATATATATACGATTCTATAAGTGCGGAGGTGAAATATTTGACAAATTTTAACGCTTTTCGATTACAAATTTTTCAATTTGGAAAATCAATTTTCAGGCAAATCGTAAAGGATGGAAGTAGAGAGAATTGTGAGCTCTTCCTTTCCTGATTACAAGGAAAACACCGTTCAAGAAATTTTCAACCATAGCTTGCACAACGAATTCCATGAAAGGTAAATATTCAGTAATTCAGTATTTGATTAACATTTTAAAATCTCAAAAAAATACAAAACTACGCCTAGGTATGTATGGTACAAGTTTCTGGACCAACCCACACAGCATGATTAGAATAACATAAAAACTATATATTCGCGTGGCAGATGCTCTGATTTAGCTAAAAACTAGTTACATTTAAATTGTATTGTCATATAAATTATACCTACTTATTTGTCGGCGGAACTTGGCCAACATCCCACTTAAATTAATTGATACGACCCGTGGAATTTAAAATGACGCACTAGAATTACTCAGATATAAAAGCGTCTTTATTTTTTGTTTATATTCGCAAATTATACCTATTCACTAGATCTATTCACTATTAAATATAAACAGATAAAGTGAGATTTTGTACTTTGTTTGGGAAAAAAAGTGCTAAAAACAATAGTCTATTTAGATCAACACAAAAATGCGACAAAAATGCATCACCGACCGATGGGGGTCCCCATATAAGTAGTTATTTGAGTTAGTAGATATTCCGATAGGCCTCGGTTTTAATGTAATTATATTTTGAAAATTCAACCAACCTGCAAAAAATGCTTTATTTGTATCTTGTTCATATATAATATGTAATAGCTTCTGAAGAAGTAGAATAAACTGCCGCCCTGTACATCGCCGCACTCTAAAAATAGAGTTTACGTCTATCAAAAGTGCAATAATTAGAGCAATACCTCCCGGAGCGCATTAAACCTGCAAACAATTTATTTGCTGGCAAGGTTTCTAGGCCAAACATTTCCTGCATACCTATGCATGCTGGAATTTATATATGGCCGCGTTCCTGTTGTACATAAACATCGCAATCTACCAAATGCCGACGCTCCAGCGTAGATGCCGTTTCTGCCGAATGCAAACTATCCAAACTCGAAATGTGAACAAACTGGAATCTTGGACAATTTTATTTTTAACTTGGTTTCGATGATTGTTTGGCCAAAGAAAGTAAAATCATTTCACATTAATAATAGTATGTTAGACGAGAAGTTTGATAAAGACCACTTTAGTCACGAGTTTGATTTTTCGTAAGCTGAAAATGTTTATCAACTCAAACAACCACAACCTTTTGAGTAACTTTTCGCAAAACAACCCGAACATATTCGCATTTTTTTTTTAATCATTTTGGTTTCTGCAGTCTGTTCAAAGTTTTAAATCATTGCGTTTTCTTTTTTGACTCTTGTTTTTGGATTTAATAGCGACAGAAAAACAAAAAAAAAATATATAAAAAGTTTATTTCGGAATATTTCTGCACCTTAGTGTGCGTATCGCGGAGATACAATCAAAATGTTTTCCTCGCCATAATACTCACGTCCGCAATAAAAATCGGAGTCGACATTTTTTTTTTGCATGCGTAAGTAGTTATATCATCCTCAATCAAAATAGCGCGGTTCGAGGAGCTAAATTTAAAAATTTGTTTACAAAGCATCAGAAGCGGTGTCGAAATAGCTGTCAAAATAAGTATTCAACGCTAGACGAGTTTATTGTTTTGGACCGGTAAAAAGAAGAAGAAAAGTAACAACTAAATTTGACGTAGACCATAATTAACTTCTCCAGGTTTATTTTATGATTTAAATGGAGCGTTTGACATTATGAACTACAAACTTTTATTAGATATGTTGGGTTCCTTTGGATTGGGCAGTATTCTAAATTAGTAGCAGTGGTCGATGCTACCAAGTCCCACCATTCATTCTGGGTCTGTTGTTTTTTATTATTTTTCTAAATAACAGTGGGAGATGACTGTTGACCTCGTCGTGCGCGTACTATGCTTTATATTCTTTCAAGAATTTATTGATTTAAGTGAATTGAAACTCCTGTTTATGAGAGTATGCTCAAAATGTGTACTTTGGGCGTATACAGTCAACACTTCAGGACGGGTTATTGTTTCCAGGCTTATACTTCGACCAGAAATTTAGTTCTTTTACAACCGATCTCGTGATTAACTTTGGCTACTACCCTGACGTGCAGACCCTTACCCATAATCATTCCAGGGCCGTCCAAGGAATTTATCTACCGACACTAACAACCGGGATACATGTACACATGTACATAAAAAATTGATTACGTTCTATTTCGTTACATTTCTACGTAGTATCTTTATTTATATGCGAAATATTAAATATAATCATAATAAAATATCAGTCGCTTAAAATCGTCACTATCGCTACTGTCGTCACCTAGTTCAATGATCAACTCCGCCACTTCTTCTCGATAAATATTTTCTTCTTTAATTACTCGTTTTTCACAGTTACACCAGCTTTGTCTTGATATTCTAGTTACTTCTTGCCGAATTGCGTTTATGGTACTGGTACTATCACTAAATTTTGGTGCAGTTCTATTTCTTCTTATATGCGCTTTCAACTCAGACCAAATCATCTCAATTGGGTTAAGTATACAAAGACACAGGGGTAATTTCAATATTTCATATCCGTTTTGTTGTGCTGTCGAATCGTTTTATTAAAATGTTTTATTTTTAATAATTCCAGAAGTTGTTTGCTCTCTTTAAAATGTAAATCATTTTCGTACAGAAATTCTTTAATTTCTTCTTTATTTGAAGAAGTATTTGGGATTATTTTGATTTCTTATAAAATTGTCAACATTTAAAACCATTTTTTTAGCATTCGTGGATCCGTTTTTTTAATTCCTGAGGTAGCTCGTCTTCCAAATTGTCATTAGGTTCGGCTACCATCTCCACTTCAAATTCTGCGTTGTTTTCCGTGTCTTCTTCTAACAGGGGAACACATTTCAAAGTGTTAAAAAACAGGAACCTTCAAAAAATGTTTAATTGTAAGATTCCAATAAATATTTATCTGTATTCTTATCAAGCACCTTTACTACCGCTAATATAATCTATAGTCTTGAAAAATAATCCAAGAACTTAATTAATTAATTAATAATTAATAACTGTTAATCGACAGGCACACAAGAGAAAAATAATTATTTCCAAACTTACCCTTAATATACACGAACATATTGCAATTTAGATTAAACTCTTATGAACGATACATATTACCTGATGTTAAAATAAACGCTTCTACTTATTCGAAAATACCCCGCAGCATCAATACTTAAGCATATTTAAAACGGTTTATTTACGTTTCAAGTAAAAATTTCAAGTTCCTGCAAATATTAGTTGCGGTTCATCTCAGACAAGACCTACTTAATGCAAAATAAATATCGGTTGCGATGGCTTTTACCGCGGCCCTGCGAAGGCCTGCGGTTAAAGTACTGTAAGATACTTAAAACGTCAATGCAATAAATGCACTATATTTTTGGTGGTGGTATACCTGCCCATTGTCAGAAAGCATTTAAAATGCAGAAGAAAGCTACAAAGTATGACAGGCATACCTACGCTTTTTGTATATATTTCAATATATTAATTTTGTATATTAGAATGAAAATTCATTGGGGAGGGGGGTGGGGGTTCTCTTGAACAGGGCGAGATATGTGCGACACAGAAATAGCGTAATGTATTTTATTCTGTATTCTGGATCGTTGAACAGAAATTATTGCAGTGTATTGTTGTTTCTACAGTGTTTACCTTTCTTTCTGATTGTTTATTTTTATTATTATATCCTTTTTCGCGCTAACTTTTGAAGTTGTTGAACATACTTAGATATGACTAGTCTTATATAGTCGGTATGATTTGTAATGGCATAGTCTGCAATAAAATACCATACAGAATAAAATGATCTTCGTCTTTAGCATTCGACAAGCTTGTTTATCATTTTTGTCAATTTTAATTGCAATTAATCCGCATACTGAACACCTATTTGGTAATTTCTTCTTTTTTTGTTGATGCATTTGGTACACTTTCACTAAGTGTAGAATGATATAGTGCAAAATCCATTAATCACGGCGTTTTGAATTTCGGCAGCAGTTTTTCTGTCTTGTAGTGCAATCTACTGTAATCGGTGCTATCTCTGTGGAGTGTACGACACCGAGGCGAAATAGACAAAGGTAGAACACTGCCAGGTAAATGGGTGCGTTTTACCATGCATAGTATACGAGTGGAACCAGGTAAAATCCTGACACACCTTCTCTCTGGGTTTATGACCGACTGTAACATCGCAAATGGTACCGAAAATAAATGCAAGTATAATGTTCATTGGTTATTTATTTTATATTAAAACTGTTAGAAATTTATTTGCTTCCAATACAAGCTTCAACAAATTCTATAAACAATATCGGAGAACTCCCACCTGTGAGGGTGATGGGACATTGTCGCAAAATTACATATCTTAGCGAAATTGTATTAGCATCGCAAAACAATTTAGATTGCTTTCAGCAACCACTTTTGCTCCGGTAAGTTTGTTTTCGATTTTATAAAATCCATTAGGTTTTGGTAAATAGTCTGTTAATTTATGTACTCTAGAACATCTTTAATATGTTGCCGACGAGTGGTTTGAGCTTTCACGCCTCACTTGTTTGTTCTTTGAGATAAAATAACTAAAATAAATGTCAGGAAGAGAATGATAAACAGAAACGCTTCTGTTGGGAATTACATGGTGTTTCAAACTATTTGCAAAAACGATTTTTTTATCTTTTTTTTTTCAAAGAAACTTCCACAGGCTACTGTAATACTTTTTACAAAACTTCAGGATTTCTCCTGCGTCGGTTTTTGCTGAGTTAAAATTGCTGACGTTTCGCCAATTATCCTGTTGGCTTCTTCAGAGCTTGATTAAAACTGCCTCGTATTTCACTCTGTACCTGCTGATATATTGTTTGAGGGGGGCGCTAATGAGGGGTATTACACCGTCTCGGATGACTGATTCCCAAATTGGTGACATGTAGAGACCAAAGTCGCGGTTAAGATTGTTAGGTTGTTTATATATTTTTATAGACTCTCGGATTTTTCTTTGGAAAAAGAATTACATGCAAGAATTTTAGTTTTATCGAATAAAATTTTATGTCCGGTTTCGTGATTGTGTTCGGCAACAGCTGGTGAATGTATTTGTCTTAGTCGTAAGGCTCTTTCGTGTTCTTTGAGCCTAGTTGATATTTTTCGTCCGCTGTAAACTCCTGGCATCTCAAATGGAATTTTGTCTTTAACGGACCGAAAATGTTGAGAGATTTTTGGACAAGTGATAAATCTGGTTTTGACGTTATACTTCTTTAGAATTTTTGATATGTGGTCAGTGATGTTTTGAATGTAAGGAAGGACCACAGTGGAAAGTGTAGGATTGCTTTCGGACTCATTGCTATTGGAAGGTTGTGGTGAAGTGTATTTTTTGATGGAACGCTTAATATCTTTAATTTTGAAGTTATTAGAGAGAAGAGCAGAGGTAAGGTGTTTTAATTCTGTTTCCAGTGACTCGGGCTGAGATAGTTTTACCGCTCTGTAAACAAGAAAGTTGATAACCGATGATTTTTGAGCCGCATGATGATGTGACCATGCATTAAAGTATCGGTCTGCGTGCGTAGGTTTTCTGTAAACACAATGACCCAATGTTAGGTCTGATTTTCTATTGATAAGAATATCTAACAATGACAGAAAACCGACGCAGGAGGAATCCAGAAGATTTGTAAAAAGTATTTTTTTATCATTATTATCAAACCACTCTAGATATTTCAATGACATTTTGTACACTGCCTCCAAGCAGTAAAATACCAGTGACGTCCGTGAGTGGAATATTTTCTAAGAATCATGTACATGGCTCACCACTAATTTTTATTATTATTTGTTATATTAAACTTATTTTTTATTTAATTATGATAAAATTAGTTTTTCTTATAGTTTCAACACCCTGTATCTCGGAGAGGCAGGGTTTCGATCATATGTTTAAATAGGAAAATACGGCTTATTTTCGATGTAGAATATGCCCTACTAAATTTGGTGCATTAATTCATTATACATCCTGTATAATGAATTAGAAATTATTGATTAGCACATATCGTCCGTTTCCTAATAACTATATATATTTTTTTAGTGCAAAGGCTCTGTTAGCAAGGCTCCAGCCGTCGGCAACCACTGGCAACATTTCCCCGCTCACGGAAAGCCTGGTGTTAACTTCGGCTTCGAACGTCATTCCTCACATTTTAAAAAGTTTGAATATTACGTGTCTGATTACCGTGGCCCCTGAATTGCCCGACACCCCGTACAGCGACGAGGTGTTGTATCACAAGATAGACGTGGTGGATTTGCCAAGCTCGAATATTTTACCACATCTCGACGAAGCGGCCGATCTCGTCCACCAGGTAACGACCAATGAAATTTGCAAATGAAAAGTAATTTAAAACTGGTATGTTATTTTTTAATTTTCGGTTTCCGAACTTGAAAAATGTGTTAACATGATTGGGGCAGTTTTCCGTATGTTCTAAGGTTAATAATTATTGGTAATTATGACGCCAAAACTTTTCAGCTTTTCACTAGGATGAAAAGTACTTTGACTGGAACCATTTTTCGAGAAACCACATGTTAAAAACCCATTCTATTATCTAAAGAGTTATGCTTTTACTTGTTTATGCTGGTTGTTTGTTCTTGGGGGCTTTATAACTTGACGCAATTATTATAATATGCTTTTCCATTAGGAAATTCTATCCTAATCATTGGAGTACGGGCCAAGCTCTTCATGCGTTGCTTATTTTTTTAGAAGAGCTGCAAGTACTTTATAGACATCATCCAATATTAGTCAAGTTGTTTGTTCCAACCAGTCAAAATAACCACCGAGTCCACCACATGGTCAAAATTCAAAACTATTTGGGTCGATTTACGTATTTAGTCCCTCGAAACTAATACATTTATTTTCAACAATGTTTTGTCGTTTTGTCTGCTTATTCCTCATATCTTGCCTGTTTATTATTCAAAGTATTAGTTTTTACGCCTTCTAAGCCAAAAAGCCCAATGTTTTGTTTAGTGTTTCTTTACATACATGTGAATCGAATAGATTAAGATAATATTAAGATTTCATCTATTCGTTATATCAAAATCAGCAACATCTATTTGAATTTTAATATAAATATTCATAGTTTAATTAAAATCAGGCATATCCAAATTTAAAAGAAAGTCTTCACAAAATTAAAAAAAAATTTTTCGTATTTTTGCAAAATTAATTTAGAACGGATTTTTTTCCGGATTTCTCAAATAGCCCATAGTAATTTTATTAGCTATAGCTAACTAGTGGAGATTTAAACACAACGTGATCAGTTTTAGGTCTGTTAGCACACTAACTGCCCTAATTATCTTTATACGAAATGTAATTAAGAACTTCTTCAAGCTGAGGCTCGACAAAAAAGAATTAAAACTAGAGAGCGATACTAATATATAGCACCAACAAGTGCAACGTCGTATTTCTAATATGATTTATACTCATAGTGAGTATATATTCAACAGAAGATGCTTACTAAAATAATCACAATTTATCTGGATAAGGGTTAAAGCAGTGAAATCAGGTGTCCCGCTAAAAAAAATAAGACATAGTGTTCACCCCATAATTCGTTCAATGCGCTAAGAGATGACAAGAAACGTTTTTTTCAGTATACCAAAATGAAACGGCAAACTTGATTTTTATTCTTAATAAAGTTGAACATGTATTGGTATTGGTATGAAAAGAGGGCGCTCTCGCGGGCGTCCAAGCACTTAGGCCACCAGATGGGCCCGTTGTGCCCCCAGGCCGCTCTAGAGGGCGTCCAGAATGCCGCCCCTCCTATAGAAGGTCAGCAACTCTTTTAGCCCAATACCGTGCACTGAGTCCGGATCGAAGAGGGCCGTTCCGAAGACTGGCAATCTTGCCCATGTCAAAGCAGGGTACTCGATGAGCAGTTGATACGGGGTCTCCTTCCCTTCCATGCACCACCTGCACTCCGGGTGGTCTCCAATGCCTAGCAAGCAAAGATGCCTCCTAAGCCTGCAATGTCCTGTGTCTCCTTTCTGGTCAGTCTAAGAAGCTCCCTGGTCCGAGGGAGGGTGGGCCCATCCATCATAAGCCTCGCCTGCTTTATTCCCGGAGCAACTCTCCAGCCCACCGCGGCCCGGTCTCTCGCCCAGGCTTCGAGAGCTCCCCGCCTCACACACGAGGCGATCCCCAAGCGGGGCCCTGGTCCTATATGCCTATGCGAGGAGCCCTCCCTGGCTAAGGCGTCCGCTGCCTCATTGCCCCGGATACCGGTGTGCCCCGGGACCCAGAGCAAACGTGACTTTCCTCTCCCCAGCCACTCTCCTCACCCCTTTGCCCTCCTTTATCAACAAGGAGCTCGTACGCACTGACTTCAGCGCCATCAGTGCAGCCCTACTATCCGAGCAGAAGAAGATCCTCCTGCTTTCGTGGTTGAGCCGAAGCACCTCTCTGACCGCCATCAATAAAGCGAAAATTTCCGCCTGAAACACAGTACAGTACTGACCCAGAGAGACCGACAAGCTCGATCCCGTTGTCTCGCAGTACGCTCCAGCTCCGGCCAGATCTCCTATTCTGGACCCTTTCGTGTACCAGACAAGTCCATCCCAGGAGCCGACTCTGCCCTCTTTCCACTCTTCCCTTGATGGGAAGAGAAAGATCCATTTGTCAAAGAAGGTCATCTCGAGGATCATGACGTTATTCGGCATGCCCATGACCCCGCGATCCCCGGGCCAGCCCTCTAAAGGTTCCCTCCCTCCAGAGCTCGCCAGCCTCACAGCCGTCCTGGCCGCCTCCATCGGCAACCCCACCAGAGCCTCTAGGGCCCTCGCCGTTCTCATGGCGCCCGTTATGCAGAGGCAAGCCAATCTCTGCAGTTTGTCAAGAACTAGCCTTGCTCCTGCTCTTTTGGTTCCCGGCCACCATTCCACTGGATACGGTAGACAGAGTGATGATCTTCAGAACTCTAAACATCCCAGAACCATCTTATTTATCTCAAACTACTGTAGTCCTGTGATGGACAAAATTTTACTTTTGAAAAAAATGCATTAATAAAAGTTTTTCTGGTGCCAGAACATGTATTGCATGCATATTTGGTTAGTGCTAAATGACGATCACGTTTAAAATGCATTGAAGATGATATTGAAACCGCAGACATTACGGTTAAATCAGTCTGCGTTCTTCATAACACTGTAACAGACAGAGAGGTATTTCGACGACATTTAAGATATTTATCTGAAAATTTACCTGATAATTATAGATGGAAACTAATTGGATGACCACCAAATGAAATCAGAGAGACGGATAATATGAAAGGGCATTTTTGCACTAGCAAAATTAAGAGAATCAAGAAGTTGCAAGCATATTTTGCAGTTCTCCTGAAGTGTACTAGGTAGTTTTAGAGAATGCAATATTTACATCAAAACTGTTATTATTAGTACTTGCGTTGGGTTCGGATTTGGAGCTTTTCCTTTAATGTGGAACATTCGGATGATTGCATAACGACTGACTGAATGGCGCTCTTGATATCGAACAAACTTTTTTTAAGGCAATATCGACATAGATCATTCGACGCAAAATTTTACTCCTCAAGTAGATTAACATTTTTTCCGCCACAGGTCTCATTAAATTGTAAAATCACTAATACGAAGCGCATTTAACGGCACTAAGTAAAACATGATGATAAATGTGTTCGTTACCAGGTGCATGCTGTACGATTGCCAACAGTTGCATATTGTAGATCAACGATGTGATTGCACGCGATCATATGTTAAGTCCGGTGTTGATTTAATCTAGTTGGACGACGAAAAGCGCTGTTTATTTCGAACATCATTCATTTTCGTTTTAGGTTAGAAAAATAAAAACGATCGTTTTGGCGCCACGCGTCCAAATTATGCGCGTGTCCGAATTTATTGCGTTGTTTATATTTTTTTTCGACGGCAAAAAACATGTTGCTTATATTTTTTCGGTCGACGGCTAAAAGAAAACTTATCGCACGTAAAATTCCTGCCGATATATAAATACAAGTTGTTAACCTCTAAAGAGACGGATTTGTTTTGGGTTTCGGAAACCCTGGGCGTGAGAGCCGCCTGTCCTATTTTTTGTATTCGCATTCCGGGAATATTTTGGCGGTTTTAATAGAACTTTTAAAATAACTTCGGATAAAGCGGAAACATGATTCATTTTTATGCGGTTCCAAATACCGTAAACGTTTCGCCGATGAGTAACCACCATCTCCGAAAATTGAACTCTGAACTGAATTGAAAAAGTCAATATTTTCAAAAGTTCGCCATGAAAGCGGCTTTTCCTTATTTTCATTGCTTTAGATGTTTGAGTGATTGTTCAGTAGAGACCCAAAATGCAAAACATTTTCCACGCTGTTTAATACTTTTTTTTTTAATTCAATGGTACATTGCTATTATTTAAATTTTTATTTCATTCTTATGATTAAGGTTTCTACTGCTTCTCAAATTTTTCGCGGGAAATCCTTCGTCGGACAACACAAAGTCACGAGATAATTTTTGCTATGAAATGAATTGCCATTTGGAAATTGTAATTTATTTTTTTAAAATGGTAATGGGGTACCTTAATAAAATAATAATTTTCATTCGAAAAAAAAAGTTTCTATGCATTGTGGGTCCTAAATTTTAACACAATATCTAAGGCAGTCTCAATGGAAATGAAGAAAAATTGTCTTTTTTTAATTTCAACACTATGTATATCAAAAATAAAACGATGGCGGATCTATATTGGTATTAACTATTTTCGTAAAATCATCCAAGGAATCACGCTCTTTTCGATCTTATCTTATTATGAAACACCTTGTACACACCATCTCTGTCCTAGATCATTTAACGGTTTTATCATCAAATTCCCTTATACATTTATGATCATATCTGTGACAAAGTGATAAAGATTTTGAAATTAAGTTCCCATATGGCAAACACATTGTATCTGCTTTCACGTAACTAAAAGTCCGAAAGAAAAAGATGTAATAAATAATATCTCATCTAAATTGTAATTAAATAATTCATTAAATGGCTGCAAGTTTGTGTCAGCAAAAAGTTGCAAAATATAACCAGATTCGTTTTAAAATTTACATTTTAAAATTCGCAACTGATTTTTTGCAAAAATTGTAAAAATTAATTAATTAATTAATCTGTGGCATAAAAAGCAGATATATCGAAAAGTAATATTCAAAATTGCCTCATTTGTTGAAGGATAACAAGTTTCTTTAGCAAAATCTGCAAAGCTTGCAAGTGGTTGGAACGTGTGCATATTTTTAATTAGATGGATAAGATTCAACTCCCCTCTGCTCGGTTCGTTGAGCAAAATTTTAGTTTGGTTTACAAAATTTAACACTAGTAGTAAACTGACTATGACAATTTTTTTGGTTTGCAGGTAGCTATCTCAGGCGGACGGACCTTGGTGTATTGCGTTGCAGGTGTCAGCAGATCTGCCAGCGTTTGCATCGCATACATGATGAAATACCACCGGATGTCATTGTTGGAGGCATACACCTACGTCAAACGCGTTAGACCTAGAATAAGACCAAATTGCGGATTCTTCAAACAACTCATCGAATACGAAAGAAGGCTGTACGAGGTGAGTACGGTCAAAATGGTCTTTAACGAATTCGTTCGGATGGAAATACCAGACGTCTACGACAGTCAATACCCATACGTCAGGAAATACGACAAAAATAAGAACAAGGACAGACATTGAATTGCGGGTATAATGGTAGAAGACGATTGTGATGTCGGATGATTGTGCTTAAATAATAAGACACGTAACTATATGTTCAAAGTAACTGATCATATTGATCGAACAGATTAAGACTAATACTAATTCATTTTTAAGTTTTATACGCCCTGAAAATTTGTTCCTGTTTTTTTGGGAAGTGTGGGACCAAAATGTGTGCTTCAAAGTAATTTGTAAATAAAAAAGTAAATCCAGTGAGTTTTATTTATCATTTTACAACACAGTTTACTTCACGATGTATACAAATGTTTGTAGGAATTTTTGAAAAAAATCAAGTTCGCGGTACATTTCGCGGGTGATTGTGATTTTTTCTTGGTTTTGTCCCCTTTTCTCTTTTATGATGGTTTTGCAGTATCCCAAACAGCTTTAAATTTGAACTGAACACAAACCAGCTTTGTCAAAAGAGTGTTTCAATTTAAAAAATAGTTTCTCATTTTCATATTGTCAAAGTTGTTGTCTTGGACTTTACTTAAATGATTTCTAGGGGTTGTTTTGAATCTGATTAACTTTAAATTGTTTTTAGAATTTTATTCTGATGGGTAATTCTCAAATCCATTGTTTTCCACTCCGATTTTATTTTCCACTCTTGAGGTTTGCTTTTCCTCTTTTGCCCACGGTTGAAGTTCTCCGGATGCGAAGGTGCCATAAAATATGGCACCGAACAAATATAATCCTCCAGCGATGAAGAAGACTGTTTGCCACTGGTCGACTGTCTGCAAGGGGTAAATTGTATTATACTCGGTTCGTTTGTAAGAGAGAGATATATATGGAGTGCAAGGCTAAACAAATCAGAAAATTTATACATTTATATAAAAAAAAATCTTAAAAAGGGAAGGAGATAGAGCAATGAAATCGTTACTAAAAAAACACACATTCTCCGTATTTTTTCGCGGGTTTCAGAATGTGCGAATTACAGCACCCTTATCATTGTTCCCAACAAAATTTAAAGAACTACTAATGCAATTCTATTTAAAAACACTCCCAAGTCTAGGTATCAAAAATAATTATTTTCGAAATGTTACACGTGTTTCGCCCACACGCCCTCCATCATCAGTTATGCAAAGACGTCAACTTAAACGCACACAAACACAAATTGAAATTTGTCTAACGCACACAGTAGTTGTATGTCTATTTTTGAAACCTAAACTTGGGGGTATGTTTGAATCTTCAAGTATGGGAGATTGTTTAAACGCAACGACATTTGCTTCTTTTGATGTCTTCATAGAACTTACTATTTCTAGATTAGAAAATAAAAAGTAAAACGTTCCATGTCGAAAAAAGAAATTTATTTTATCAAAATAAACTAGTTGAAAGCTGCTATACATTTTTTTGTACCAATATCGCTATTAGGAAACTACTTTTCATAATTCATAACCTACAAATAAATACCGTTTGTAAGAAAAAAACTAAAAACTTTATTTTCCGCCAGATTTGTATCGAGATATCTCCCCAATTACTTTTGACCCAACGAAATAACCCCCTTAAGTTTTTCGAATCTGTTTGTAAAGAAAAAAGTAGATTATATTTGCTATCTCATATGATTTTACTACATTTTCCTTGTCACAATTTGAATAGAAATGCACCTAGCTCACGGGCAAAACACTTACCGCCGGCTTTTTCACTATATACCCTGTAATTACCGGGCTAATAATACCCGGAATAGTAGCGAATGTGTTACCGATTCCCATCAATATGCTTGCGTACTGCGGCGCTATATCCAAATGGTTCACACTGCAAGATAACCTATTAGAAGAAACACACCTATTCTATACGAAGTACCTAAAGCCGGCCCACGCGAACGCTCCTATTCCCACGGCCATGGTTAGGCAGAATACGGAACCTATTCTATCTGACCAGAACGCGGTGATCAACATAAATACGGTTTGAGCGAGAAATCCGGTGCAGTTGAATATTTTCCGTACTTGAGTCGTCGTTAATATGCCCTTAACTAAAAACCAGTCGGCCCATTGTCCGGAAAACTGGATTAGAATCGCCATTACCAGATAGGGAAGGGCGGAAAGAAATCCAGACTTGCCCAAGTCGTAGTCGTATATATCTAAGAAAATAATTAGAGGGCAATTTTAATTAGGATCACTTTAAATTTCGTTGAATTGTTTATGAACCTTTAAGATACTTTGGTAACTGCGTGAGCAAAGTATAGAAACCCCAATTTTCCCCGCAGTGCGATATCACAATCGCCCAAACCGCTTTCGACGTCAAAATAGCTTTCCATGGTACCGGACCGATGCTTTTAACAGGTGCAGACGATAGGGAGTTCTGGATAAATACCAACTCGTCGCTGCTGATGTATCTGTCACTCTCGGGAGATTCGGATATAAATATAACCCAGGAGATAAACCATAGTACTCCCGATGCTCCTAAAAGTTAGAGAAATATTGATAAATACTAAGCAGGTGGTCCCAAAGAGTTAAAAGTATCAAAGTTTTACTTTTTTAAATGGAATTCCCTTCATATTATAACATTCTTCGATTTCTGGTGTGTTTCCATAAGATTCTCGTAAATTTGGATCGAAGAAGATCAATTGCGAAGATTTGTTGATGTTTTAATGAATGATTCAATTTCTATGAAACAGTCGATTGATTGATTTAAACTGATATACACGATATAAATAATTATCTCCAACGAATTAAATCAAAAGCTGGGGGCTCTGATAAAATTAACAAAGCTTTATTCCAGTTTTGCTGTAGATTGTTCACATAGTAGTCAATTTCGATCGCTTAGTATACTGACAACACTGTCAACAATTCTTGAAATGGCAATGAAGAAACAAATTGAGAGCTTTTTAAATACCACCAATTACCAACCGGTTTTAATAAAGGTTATAGTTGTTAAAGAGAATATCCAAATTTACTTGTCATTTTCAGATAACTCCATAAACTTTTCTGAAGTACTTATATTATTGTCAAGAATGATACTCAAATATGTGAAAAATTTCAATCATACTCAAATTAAGGTAAAAGTTTAGAATGAACCCTTGATTCAAAATTATGCTTTAGTTAACACGTAGCGGCAAATCGAAGGTCTGGATATAGTAATTTGACGTTACTGTGCAGTCTGGGCACTACTTTCGACAAGATACTAGTAAGTTACTTTGTAAGTTAACTTATTTCATTTTTTGTATTAGATTTTATAAGCCCTACTTAGATGTTCTGGAGCTCTGTCAAAATTCAAATTCAAAATTATTGCTCAAGGATAATTTAAGGAGTGCGACGAAACAACCATATTTCGCCCTACCTAATTAAATTTGTTTTTTATAATATTTAAATATAAAATCTTTACTTAAAAATTCAGTTTCGAGGTGATATAAACAAATTAGTTACTAGAAAGCGGCAATCTCATAGTACTTTGAGAAGAAACGTACAAAAGATTGTTTTCTGATAATATTGCTCAAAATATAAATAACATGCCCAATTTTCTTCAAAATTAATTATAGTAGTATCAAACGTAATTATAGAAATCAGTTGTTGCTGAGAGAATAGCGATATTAGAATTAATTAGAAAATATTATGCACTCTCTATCTCCTTTATTGTAATTGTTATTAAAATTTAATTACGTACATTTTTAATATCCGGTTAAAGCTACTTGAAGTAGTCTCTGTCATTAAAACTTTGAAAGTATCTATTCAAATCCAAGCTTGATTAGTATCCGAATCACCAGATGTGTGCATTTTTATAAGGTCTATTAGCCAGATGTTTTTCATTTATATGTATTAAGTGCACACAATATATTAATTTGCAGTACAGTTAAACAACCATATTTTATTTCCCAATCATGAAAATCATACTGTCTTCTATAGGATGACAAAAATTGATCCTAATCTAGTAGAATGTACTTTCCAGTTATCTATCCAATTGTGTTTAGGTGTAGGTGATTAAATTAAGATTTTTGGACTCATTTGATGTCTTCTAAATAAAACTTTTATTGTATCTCGTTGTCTATGGAAGTTGAAAAATTTTGGCTCAATTTTGTTTAATTTTGCATTGGCGTGTTATTGTTCGTAATTGTTGTATTGTGGACTGTGTGGATGTGGATGAAGATTTATACAAAATAAAAGCGATTTTACATGATTTTTATACTAGTTTTAATCCTTGGAGACTGTCATTACAGATGCTTTTTATAGCTAACTGTACAATTAAACTACTATTTGAAGTAAAAGTTTTTTTTTTCGAAATGAAATTGTGTATTCATAAGTGCTAAGAATCTGATTAGTTTTATATTTATTGGATCTTTTCGGGCATCAGGAATTGGTCAATCTGCTAAATGAGAGTGGATGTAAGGATGTGTTATGACATATAAGAAAAGAAATATTACATATAACAGGTGCATATGGAAAGGAACTAAAGGAATTTTGAACATGTGCGGAAGATAGGAGGCATGTCCAACGAACACAGGAGAATGGATTGATAACACTAGTGACAGATTGAAGCACTAGATTAAAGAGAAAAAGAGGAAGGCCAGCAGAGACAAGAATAGGTGGATATCGAAAGTTGGAGGGTATAGGGAAGAGCGAAAAAGGAAGACCCAGCAGATTCTGAACAAATGAAGCAACATTTACGACATGGTTAAGTTACGTACCGCAAATGTAGAAGACGCTCTCCCATCCCATAGCGTCAGCCAAATAAGCACAGGCGGGCATAGCAATGACAGTGCCGACGAAACATCCGGAAAAGGACAGCGTTGCCAAGCGTGCCCTTTCCAATGGCGGAGCCCATTTCGACCACACGGCGTGTATACAGGGATAAGTGACACCCTGAAAGTCGCTGCAATTTGAATCCATCAAAAGGTATTAACTCGTAAATTTCTAAAATCGAAAGAAAAACCCATACCTCGCACAGTCCTTCGATAACTCTGACGGCGATGAAGAGGTAAACGTGGGTTTCTACTATCCACGGGGTTACTAGAGTAAAAGCGGCGGTAACGAATATTCCAATACCGAAGAGCGATTTGCCTCCTAATTTCGTAGCGACGTAGCCTCCGAGGATCTGAGTGGCCATGTAGCCATAGAAAAATGCGCTTAAGATGTGGCCTTGGAGTTCATTGTTCCAGTCGAATACAGGACCCTGATGAAAATGATAGGTCCACGTGAACGTGGCGACATATAGTTCTCGTTGTCGCTTACCATGTTTAGTCTCGTACCATTTTCGAGTGTGACGTATTTATCATCTGTCATAGCTACAATTGCTATGCTGAGGTTGACTCGTAAAATGTAGGCGTTGAAAAAACCGCAGAACGCCATAAGAGCGACTACGTAACGTCGTCGTTTCCAGACTTTCCATGATGGATGTTGTTCGGAAGTTCTTATAGAAGTGTAATATACAATGTGTTTGGAACAGTGTATAAAGGAGGTGAAAAAAAACGGAGTAAAATAAAAATTCACTCAAAATTGGTTGTAAATAAGGGAATTTGGTAAATGTCCTTATATATAAGTTTATTATAATACGAAGTTTACAGTGGGTAGATTAATAATAAATGTACAATATTTCATTAGGCTTCAAGCATTTAGAATGTAGAAGGAGGCAATAAATTTCGTAAGTTCCGAAAGTAATGTATCATCGGTGTTAAATTATTCTAAAATCATGTAAATTATAAAGGGACCTACAGTGTTTTCTAGTATATTAGTAGCTTCCCACATTCATCACAAGTTCGACGCACTTACTCCATGTTTCACAATCCACTGTGTTTATTCCCTCTATTTACAAATGTAAATAAAGGTAAATGCGTAAATGCCCTTATTTAGTCACATTACACAACAGCTCCTGTAAATTTATAATACGAAATTTAGAGTGTGTAGTTTAATAGGTGTTCAATATTTAACTGGACGCCAAGTATTTTGAATGTAAAAAAAAACGATAAATTCAGTAAGTTCCGAAAGTAATGTGGCAACGTGTTTACTAGTATGTTATTGGCTTTCCCACATTCATCATGTTCCACAATCCACTGTCTTTATTCCCTGTTTTTATAAGTGGTGTTATGCCTTGCTATAAACTCTTTCACTCGTTACCTTGCCAATTCTGTGGGGTTTGATTCACAGTGGCATGGCGGAAGGGGAAATATATTTCGTTTTTAAGCGATTTCTTCGACGACAAATTTCGTACAAACAGGTTTATTCTAATTTACAATCTCCAGTAGGTCCTTTTTAAAGTAAGCCATTTTGTTCCATGAACACGTAAGTATTTTTTCCAAAACGAATTTTGCCGACAACTGCCGGAAAATAAATATAATTCTAATATTAAATTCAAAGCACTAGTAGGCCAACTACCTGTCTGTCTACCTATCATGCTCGGGACCCTCATCAATTATCATAGGTAAAGTCTGCTCATAGATATAAGAAAGTGACTACCTGATACGAATTAAGGAAAGACCCGGGCAAGCTGTAAGAATGAAATATGGCCGAACAGGTTCGTACTTTGCTTAGAATTTAATTACTTGTGGTTTTGTTAGGAAAGATACTAAACAATATTTATTTATTTATGTATGTATTTATGTTTAAATCTAAAATAAAATTACAAATTATTTTTATTACCTATTTAAATTACTTAAAATTATTCACATAATATATCAGTATCACTATCGCTATCATCGCCTGTTATAATTATTATTTGTTCTATATTTTTTACAATATGGATATATGATTGTTCTGCTTTTTCTATATGTTTAACAGAATTTGCCCAACTTTGTGGAGGGATGTTAAAAACTTCGGTTTCTATAAGTTTGAGGACATCGGAGTTAACACGGGGAAAAGCATTGTTATGACGAATGGCAGATTTCAGTTGGTGCCAAACATGTTCAATGGGATTAAATATACAGATTAAATATAAAGATTCCATTAAAACTTGCCTTTTGTCAATTTTTTTAAATCTATAACTCATGTGTTGAATACACTTCTATCAGGTAGTTCTGCCACATTTAACACCAGTGTCATCTTTTTCAAGCCTCCTAGTTAAGATATCTAATGTAGGCACGCTTTGTTACTCTTACAGCTGGTAAATTTTACGCCGTACTATATCTTGATCACTTTCATCTACACTCGGGAAAATGTCAGCATCGCTTCTTTTTTTCCTGACTGAAATGGGATTGTTCACAATTTTCCATACAGTTGATGTTGGAATTTTTATCAATGTGGCCGTCTCTTCTAAAGATGCTTGCTTGCTGGCACCACGTTCAATGAGAGTCAAATAAACGTTGTTTATAACTTCCTTAGTCTCAATAGAATAGTGTTTTCTACATTTGGGCGAAAGCATCTCCCGAGATACACTAGACTTGCACATATTTTGCATAATTCGCACACGATTCAACACATGCTGTATTACACACGAAATAAGAATGATTACTAATAAACTTAAACTAAGTAGTATACCAAACCAAAGAATATTAAACACAGATAGGTATAAATTATTTTCTCTCACGGACCACAATTTGACCTGAATTTAAATACCGAAACTTTAGGTATTAATTTTGTTGCATTGTATGTTAATGACCACCCTTGGATAATCCCATTCAAAAGAAATTGTCGCTTTCTTATATCTATGAACAGACCATACAATACTACTCATACGGAATACGGCTAAGACCACTAAGTTTTACAGTATATAAAAATTTATACTTATAATTAATATTTATAATTTTTATGTAAATGGGTCTCTAATGCTTGTCTTTCTTCATTTACAATGGTTGATAACCTTTTGTACCACCCTGTGTTATTTATTTGTTTATAAAAAACCAATCGAGCCAGTTTTGTACCAACTTTTCTAATCACACTATATATAATATAATTCCATGGTCAAAAGAAATATGAGCTTAAGATCTAACTTAAAAAGGGCTTAAATAGAATCGAGTACATAATTATTATTTAATCATTTCATCAACTACTACCATTAATTTAGATTATTCCCTTCCCGTCAACTTTAACGACAAGGCGCATTTTAACTAAGATTTGATCTGTGATAATGTGTTTAACAGTCATTTAAATTCTAACTTTAGTGACTGCAGAGAATTAATATATGCGTTGCTCTGTTCCTTTTTTTGGTTTTGGTTAATTTTTTATTTTGGAAACATTGACTCAAAATTTGTTGTTACGAATTTTGAAAGAATACTTTTGGGGACTGGACTGCGCAGTTTTGACACACCCATTTAGATGTAAAAACCTTTTTATTTTCAACAAAAATTATTTTTTCTCCGTTTAATATCCTTCTACTATTTTTCCTTTCACAATTATTACAATTATCTCAACATCTTAAACATTTTTCAAATATATACCCCAAATATTTGCTTATATACAGGGTGCGACCCAGATATTCAAAAACAAATAAAAATTGTCATTGTGACGCCCACTGGGCACTGATTACGTGTTTTTGTTTTGTATTGCAGCCTGGTGATTTAGTAGTATCCTTTGCTCTGCTAGTAGTCTCTGCGCGTGTCATAGTAGGGCGTGATTGGTCACTTAAACAATTACCGGTTATATATTTCGACCTTGTCCGGTAATGGTACAAATGCCGGTCAATTTACTTGATTATTCGTAAATCCTTGACAATGGCATGTTATTGAGTTTTACAGATTAGTGAGGACTTCCGTGTAAGCTATCTATCTATCTATAGAAAGTTGAAACTTATGTCGCCTGTTTGCATGATTTTTAAAAATATAATTATCAGACCTACTTGATAACGACTATATATATTAACTCAAATAGATTTGTTTATTGTTGAAAGATGTAGGTTGCAGATTTAAAAGGATATAACATACGTCAATATTCAAAATCAGCATTGAATAACCGCGCTTTTGGATATTTATAGTTTTAATTAGCACATTCCGGAGCAAATTGTCAGGTTTTGTCGGGAAATTATCAACCATGCTTGTTTACTTACTGTTCGGGTACGTTGGTCGTTGATTTCGAAGCATTGCGCATTTCGACGTCTAAAACCGCCATTTTTAAATATCAATTTTTACGCGCACCGTTTTCTGGTTACTGAAATTGTGTCCGATATCAAAACTTCCACCTGACTAGTGCCATGACCCATGTTATTTCTACCAGGAGTGAATGTGGTATTTACCAAGTCATTGGCTCGCACGCAGATTGCGAAAGGCAACAATTTTTTTATGTCGTAAATGTTTACAAAATTTATTCGGTAATATCTTTCATAAGATGCAGATCCCACCGGTTCAAGCATTTTGATGGGGGGTATAGTTTGGTTCGAATTATACCTATGTGTGAAAATAGAATTTTATCATAATAATACGTCCCAAATTTACAACTTTTATATAGACTATTATATATATCATTAAAATTAATAATCCACAAATTTTGGTAGCGTACATAAAAAGCAAATTTTAGATTATTTTTTGCCCAACTGCTCTCTATATCCGACATTAAATAAATATCTTGATATCATCAAGAAGAGATGTTGTTGCCTACATAGTGTTTAATTAATATAGCACACGTGATGCAGTGAAACCAAAATATACTCTGGTTTTAGCTAGATTCAAGCATTTTTTCAAAAACGCTGATAACGCCCTGTCAATAATTTTCGGTTACGCCACTGCTCTACTTGCATTAAATACCTAATTTTTATGTCAATAACAATGTGCTGATGTAATTCCGTCATAAAACGATTTTGCAGTAAATGTGACGACGTGAAGGTATATAGGCCGAATATTATGCGGGGGTTATAAAAATCCGAGAAAATAACACTAAATCCGGAATTTAGTTTATTTATAATGTCGGTGGAATTTAAACGACCTATATTTCGCGCTTTGATCGCGGGGAGTTTATGCTCTCTGCCAAGGCTGGCGATGCGAACTTGCGAAAATTGCAAAATGCAACGTCGCCGCCAGATATATGAAGGCGGAAATGAAGAAAACCGCGTTCCATCTTTGGGAGGTCTGAAAAACAAAACGGGTTTCAAAAAATGTACCCAAATTATATTTTTGAAAAATTTTCTTGAAAACTAAGTTTCTTTAGACACTAAGTTTAACAATTTTATAACTTCACTTTATCAGCATATATTACTTTATAGCAAATACAATTCCTAAAAACAAAAATTCACTATGGGTATATTTCACATTTCTTAAATATCTATCAGGTGAAAAGTTACTACAACATGTGGTCTAAATCTTTATTTATTTTCGACATGCATCGTCTTAAAGTTTTATTATTATTTATGAAGGTAGACATATCCAACTTGTGATTATTATCTGGTTTTCATTTCGTTTTTATTTAGTGTTCGTTTAATGTTATTTAAAAATCATTTATGTTGGATTAAAAAAAAGTTATGTTACAAAATTGTTTAACCTTTTTAAAACACATTCATATACAAATTCTATCTGGTAGTAAAGTAATCAGGAAAAAAAAAAACATTATGCAAAAGCTAAGTTTTTCATTAGAGAGTTATTTACTTAAACGGTTTACTATGAAAATATTACTTAATCATGAAACGTCAGTGAGTATTAGTCTATTTTGGATACAACTACTCAACAACCCAACTTACCGGATTACTTGAAACTATGTATCCGGTCAGTGTGGGATTTAAAATGCCTGATAGCGTCGCAATTGTGTTGCTAACTCCCATCAGTACACTGGCATATTGGGGACCCATCTCCAGAGCGAGTACACTTAAATCAAAACTATCGCGTCACGTTTTCAACAATTACGAAGAATGTTTCCAAAGTTCTGGGAATTTATTTATAATTTTTATTTTATTTTTTTAAATTTTCGTCAATATTACAAATTACTTAGCAAAAACCGACGCAGGAGGAATCCAGAAGTTTTGTAAAAAGCAATGTTCGAATATCTTCGACATTTTGAGACGTTTGCCGTCAGCTGAACTTTCAAATCGAAAATCTCTGAACGGTTTTTTTAAATTTAACTAACGATGATAATCGCCGGGTGGGTGAGTACGTATGCAATTACCATCAAAAATCGTTCAAAACATCGATTTTCATGCGGTGTGGGGTATTGCATTATCTTGTTCTGATAATCGACGATTATGCAACTTTCCAAGGAATTCTAATAATATCCCCCCTTAATTGTAGTACCTTTCGCCAGATAATTCTGAAAAATTCGCAATCCCCGAATGCAGTAAGCATTTACGACAGATGGAATTGCCATTCTTTGTATTGACATTAGGTGTCATAATTGGGAGTCATGGAATCCACGGTTATTATTCGTCTCTAAAATTAATCACCACAACGGGCTAACAGCTTTTGAAGTTGATAACAAGTATCAAATCTATCGAGTTTCTGTTTTGGTCCCAACATATCTTACCAAGACCCCAATTAATAAGTTGTCATATACCTATCCTCACACTAATTTTTCCTCTTTCACTAGATAGTTGGATAAATATATCACTGGCACCAATAGCAGCCTATTTAATAATAGCACATTTTCCATAACTTTGGAAACATCTCTCATATCTGGCTGGCGTTTACCTGTAGCTGGTGAACTGTATAGCTGCCATTCCCATGCAAACGCTAAGCGCAATAATGGCGCTTGTTTCGGTTTTGCACAGCGCGAGGCACGTCATGCAAATGACCTGCGAAACGGATCCCGTGACATTGCAAAACTTTTTGACGTTAGTGTTAGACATGATATCTTTTTTCGTTAACCAATCCGCGAGGAACCCCGCTAGCGGTGTCATTATAGCTTGCATGAGGAACGGAATCCCAAACAGGAACCCGGATTTTTCCAAATCGCTGTTAAACACGTCTGAAATATGAAGTCATCATTTTGACTACGAAGAATTCGAAATGACGCCCGACCTTTGAAGTAGAGAGGTAGTTCTATGGCGATCGTGTGAAATCCCCAATTTTGGCTAAAATTAGCAAATACCAATGCCCAAAATGGATTAGATGTTAAAACGGCTTTCCATGGCACCGATTTCACCGATACCTGTGCCTGGGAAATGTTTTCTTGGAGGCAAGCCCTTATGTACATCTGCTCGGATTTTTTTATGTGCCTGTCTGTAGCCGGAGATTCCGCCACTGTTCGCATCCACAAAATAGACCATAATATGGCAATAGAACCTGAAATACAGATTAGGGAGATTGCAGAATGGTGAGTTAAATTGACGTATTTCTGTTAAAATTACACATTCTATTCCGTTCACTACGACTAAATGTAAGCCTCCTCCATAGATATAGGTTTAAAACTAACCCCTAAAATTAAATAAAGTAGGCAATATTTTAAGTAGGTAATGAACATAGATGAGTACTCCTAACCGTAGATTAAAAGGTTTAATATGTGCTGCTAATATAGTATATACAGTAATAACGATTTTAGCAAAATGGCGAGTACCTTACTGATATTCATTCATGGTTGAAAAGAAGTACCAAATAGTTGTCTGTTATCAATGAACGGGGAATCATTATTTGAAATGTATGTGATTTCTATACTTTTATATATTTTAGACATGATTATGCTAATCTTACCACGCAATGAAAGATGTTACAGAATGACTGGAGTGGAGGAAAGAACCGTAGCAGTTCAAAGTAACTCCAGGAAGACTAATCAAATTCCTTAATTTAGTATTTGAATTTTAAAATTGAAATACTCAGCCTAGACAGAATATTGATGGAACGACAAGTAATAAGTAATTAATAAGTAAATATATATAATTTTTCTCTTTACCTCTCTTGATATAACCCATAAATAAGCCTATAGGTGTACTAGTATGTACTATATGAACCTATCGCTTATCCACAAATAATAAATTTAGTATTTGTAATAGTAATTTGTAATTAAATTATTTTGTTTACATCTCATACATGCGCTTTATTGGTCAAACTACCTAATTTCACATAAAACCTAGGCGTTCTACTAACATCTGATAAAAAAGGGACAAGTTTCTAAATTCACATAAATTATTGGTGAATTATCTTTTTGCAAATATAACAATATTTTATTACTCCTCACCGTTTACAAATATTTAGATGTATATTTATTCAATTTTACTTTACTTGCAGAACTTTACATCATGCTAAAACTAAACGGGTGTTCGGATATAACTAAACAAAATTGTGTAGCTGATCTCTGGTCAGAGCCATTCATGTCATTAGTTCTTTGCTTGTTTAACAGATTTTGTAAAGTTTATTATGGAATTAGCAACAAATTACAAACTGCTATGAAATGGCGTTCTTAACAATTATTTTTGTTCAAATCAAAACCATAGAATGTTCGAATCTTTGGTTGGAAGCAGGATATGGGTTTTAATCCTCAAATAAATTCCTATTCCAACCGCGTTAGCTCACCAAAAGAATAAAACACTGTCGCCCATCCAAAGCGAGCGGTGAGATAAGCACCAGCCGGCATGGCGAACAAGACTCCCGCGTAGGTGCCGCAGAAGCAGATCGTCACAAGAGTATTCCTCTCCAACGGCGGTGCCCATTTGGTCCATATCTGGTACAGGCTCGGACTTGTGAAACCCTAAACGACAATCATGCAGAGATTGAGTGTCAGCAATCGATATTCCACTCACTTCGAAAATTCCTTCCAAAACTCTTATTACGATGACCAAAGAGTCGTGCTTTCTCACCAGCCACGGAGTTGCAATCGTCAAAATTCCGGATACTGCTACACCTGAGGCGAATAGTGTTCTTCCTCCGATAGCTCGCGCGATGTAGCCGCTGATAATTTGAGAAGTTAGGTAACCGTAGAAAAACGAGCTCAAAATGTGGCCTTTGTACTCGTTGGTCCAGTTAAATTCCGGTTCCTGTGTAACAAGAGTTCTCGTCAACAGTCTCGTGTGATATCAAAACGGACCATGCTGTTGTTTCTCCACCCCCGTTCTCCTGACATCCCTATTATCGTGACGCTCAAAGATGACCTTAGTGCATATTCGGTGCAGTAACCAAAGAAGGCCAGAATGGCGATGATGTATCTTTTCTTCTTCCACAATTGCCATTTCTCGATGCCGTCGTTCTCTACGCTGAAATAATTTAAGTTAGAAAGTGAACAAAACCGAAAATACTCGATCACCAGCTAGCGGAATGTTTGGCATTCCGTTCGACATTATCCGACTCCAGGTTGGTACACATACTGTTGTTCGAACTGGGTCCAATTTAGTTAATTAAGGCTGATGACAAGTCGAAGCCGATAGCTTTGGTAATTGTTTTAGGTAATACGGACCGGAAAGTTTTCAACCATAAATTTGAAGTCGTTAATTGTTTTTGGGATTCTCGTGATTTTAAAATTCACCTAAACTCTTCTACATTGTTCGTTGCTAATTAGACGATATAGTATCTCGGTAGAACAAATGCGTAACCTACATTTATGTAGAACTTGGAGAATTCACAGTTTTTAAATTAAAGCGTAAATACAGAGTTCTTATAAGCCAAACTCGACACTCGACATTTTTATGACGTTATTTTCCAGCTGAAATGCATCAGCAAAAGCATATTAATTTTGGGAAATCCTAGTATCTATTGCTGTTATTGCTGGGCAAAGTACAGTAATTGATTTTGTATGATTGACGTAAAATGAAAAAAACTGAATAATTCATTCAAGTAAATTACTAGAATTGAAGGGAAAGATTGACTTTCTTTCTAACCAAGCCACTTTTGCCTACCTGAAAAATTATTTTTATTCACTTATATAACAATCAAGGTAAGTTATTGAAATCGAAAGTTTGATAATATGGAAGATGTATTCAAAAAGAAAGTTTTCGACGTACACCATCTAAGCCAAGACAAAAATGTCGTTTCTAGTTGGTCTACTGAAATAGTCAGTTATTTGAAACTATTTTTTTCCAAAAAAAAATATTTTTCACAAATTATATTTCGGCCATTATTGAAATCTGAAATATAATGTTAGGAGTTTCACCAGGTTACGTTACATTTGATAGTACTGCGAAAATAGTCACGCCTAGTACATTAGTACATTTTTAAAAGCTCACTTAAACTAACGTCCCTGAAGGAAAATTATTTTAATCCGAAAAATGTTATTCTGTTTTCTTTTCTTTAACTTTTCTTGTGTCTTTCTAATGTTTGCCCTTTCTGTTTTGCTGTCTGCCTGCTTTTAACTATATTCAGCACCAGTTTCTGCACATTCGGATATTTATAGCATCTGTTAACGCTCTTGATTACAACTGTTTCATTTCGTGATTATAATTATAGACATTTTTGTCTGCAAAATGCAGACAAGAAAAGTTGGTTTTGTCCTAAGCACTTGATGGCACTCCTATACATATTAGAAAATAATCTAATGAAGATGAGGCTGCTCTTCTAATCTTGTGTATTAGGAAACTTTTAGTAATGATCAAAGCAAGCACCACTGTTAAATGCATATTAGCTATTAAATAATTTAGTGTGCCTACTTCTGTTCATGCCTCGACGTTTCACCCACTAAAAGGCATTTTGCGCCATTTTCTTTCTACACGGCGATTTCCTCACACTTAACTATATTTTGAAAAAATACTGCTTTAAAAATGCCTGCATCCAAATTTACTGACGATCTGACAGCCATATTGCAATATTGGTTAATAGTATATTATGCAACAAGTGCTTTAACAACATTTGACTCACGAGTTTATTTGTCACGAGCGGAGCGCAGCGGAGGGCAGCGGAGCTAGTGTTTAATAAATGAGTGACTTAAACTTTACCGAACGTGTTGCACACTATACTTTTTCTACGACCATTAGTTTTTGGGTACATTTTTGCAAAACAACACGAATACATTAAATGACCTAAGAAGCAAACGAAACTGACGTGGTAAAGTGACGCTTCCCGCACCCTAGATCGATGTGTAATTAGGTATTTTACAGACGGGAGTAGAAATGTGGTTAAATGTATAAATTTCGATGCTACATGATTCTTGATTAGGTAAAGAAACAATAACAGAAAAGCGCGGCAGTTAAAATAAACTTTATTTTAAACAAGAATAATTAAAATTTGTTCTCGCTGACTTGGGAATCATCCGACATCAATTCAGGTGCTTCTTCCTGGATGGCCCACTTTTCGAGATGCGCGGATCCAAACACGAAGTAGAATATGGCGCCGAATAAGTATATCGCCGACGGTATAAAGAATACGATCTGCCACTCTTGTATTGCCTGAGACGAACAAAAAATAAATTTGGTACAACGAGCCAGCTCGTAATACTCACTGGTGTTTCGGAAAGTATGTATCCTGTTAAGATTGGGCTTATTACACCCGGCAGACTACCAATCGTATTGCTTAAACCTAATATGATGCTGGCGAACCGAGGAGCTATATCTAAGGGGTTCACTCTGGAAAAAGCACATATTGAGTTTCACTTATGAACGAGACGAAAGAGGTTGTTTCCTACACGAAACCAGCGAAAGCGAATGCTCCCGAACCAACTGAGATCGTTAAAAGTGTGACTGCCGCTGTATCGTTCGACCAAAATGCCACTGTTAACATGCACACTGCTTGAACTAGAAATCCGAAAACGATGAACAGTTTTCTTATCTGGATAGTGGATAGCAGTCGTTTTTTGGATAGCCAGTCGGATATGTGTCCAGCCAGCTGGACCATTATCGCCATCGCAAGGTACGGCAGGCCGGCAAGAAAACCGGATTTGCCCAAGTCGAACTTATAAACATCTGAACAAGCAAAGAGAAGATGATAAGAAACATGTTTATTTGATTTCAGAATATCATAATTTTTGAACAAGGGTTTCCTTTCCTTTCCTTTTAAAGTTTTTATTAAATTATTTATAGAAAATAAAAATATAAAATAAACTTAATCAATAGGTTTAAAAAAGGACCAAACATTTTTTTCTTTTGCTTAGTGATGCATAAATGTAAATTTGTTTTTTCCTCTTTTCCTTAACCAATAGTTACTCGAGGTAACTGTGGCCTTTTTTTCTAGTTCAGTTGGCAATTCTGTACCTCTATTATTATCACTTTAATAATCCGCAATTAACAACTTTGTTGATAAAATTAATTATGTTTCGGCTTTTATTTTTGTGCCCTGAAATTAGTGGGCTAGACTATAGCATAATTCCCGTCCAAAATAAGCCTTAGTTTGTTTATAAACGTATGTCGAGAAACGCTCTCTAACGGAGCCACATGCCCAAAAAGGAATGGACCAGAAAATGGTTATTTATTAATATAGAAGATAATAAATAAATAATAAAATAATTATAAGGTTACTGATATGATGCTTCAATTTCTTTACTGTAAATGACAATGAAAAGAAAAAATATTTTCCAATTTTATGGCGTAGCTTGGTGGAATGACATTTACATCCTTACTATTATCTAAAAGTTCAGAAATTATCTTTTAGTATATTGCCAGGGGATTTCCAACTGTTCCAATTCCAAATCTTGAAGAAAGTGTTATTAAACACTTTTAATGCGCATTTCTGAAGTAATCAGAACCAAGGGTTATTCCAAGAACCAATATTTAACATAGATTTTCTATCAATGTTTGGGTAATATTTTGTCATATAGATTAAATACTCATGCAAGTATTTGCTTGGAGATCTTCTTCCAACAAGATGGAGCACTTTAGGCAAGGGGTAAGAAATTGGTTAGATGAAAGTTTTGCACACAAGTGGATAGGTCTAGATGGCCCAGCAAATTATCGACTATATATTCAAAATGATGGAAATGTGTTTTAGAACTTAATTTAAATTAGTGATTTTTTGCTGTTAGGCATTCAATGCGGAGTTATGAATTAAACTTGGTTAATGCTATTTAATTTTTCATACAAATAACCTGCTAGTGCAAATGAAAATTAACAAATAACAAACCTATCAATCCCGTTGCAAGGCCTACTTCTCAATTGTTGATGAATATATAAGATGGGCATGCTAAACATTTTTGAAATCCATATTCCTCGACAACGGTCCGTTATAGTGGTTTTAATAAAGTGTACCTTTTCTCATAACAGAACACTACTTTTTCGAGTTTATAAGAAAATTTTGTTGTGCCTATCACAAGTGACGCCGCAGGTTCATGCAAATATGTATGAAACGCTAAAATTTCATTCCTCCTGGTTCGGAAATATTAATCAAAAAAACATATTTAGGTGCCTATGGCTTCGTTAGAGGGCGTCTCTCGCCATATGTTTATTTGTAAAACTGGGGCTTATTTTTTACCTAGAATATGCTGTTACAATTTGCCCACTAATTTCGAGATAGGATGTATAGTATTATTACCGTTAAGGTACATGGGAAGTTGCGTAAGAAGGGTGTAAAAGCCCCAATTTTCGGTAAAATTCGTCACGGCTATCGCCAGCACAGCCTTAGAGGTAAGTATTTGCTTCCACGGTACTCTTCTTTTGGTTTCGATTTCGGGGTTGGCGGCTTTCAACGATTCGACGATATATTGGAGTTCCGTCTCGCTTATTTTTGAATCCTGCTCTGGCGAGTCTGCGGTTATGAGCATCCAAAGCGCGTACCAGATAAGGCCCATGACTCCTGAAACGTTACGTCATATTAACAATGTTCAAATAAATTTCTTGTACAATATCTACTCCCAACAATGCAAAAAATATACATTTTTGGTTAGATTTGGTTAGTTTGAGAAATTTTACTTAATTTTTCTCATTTGTTCAAATTTTCCCTGAAACCCTCTATACCTGAAAAATAAAATATTGCTCTCCAGCCCCACATTTCAGCCAAGTACGCGCAAAGCGGCATTGCTACCACATTTCCCACATAGCTTCCCGAATACGCAATCGTTGTCAGTCGATTCCTCTCCAATGGTGGCGTCCACTTGGCCCACATAGCGTGGAGGCTCGGGTAAGTGACTCCCTAAAACGGATCCTTAGATATTCGCCGTGTTTGCACTTTTCTATGTACCTCGAATACACCTTCAACAATTCTGACGAACAACAGCAGGTATACGTTAGTTTGGGCGGCTATTGGAGTCACCAACGTCAAAGTCGCCGTTACCGCTACGCCACTTCCGAAGATGATTTTCCCCCCAAACCTCGATGCAAAATATCCGCCTAGGAATTGCGTGGATATGTAACCGTAGAAAAAGGAACTTAAAACGTAACCTTTGATTTCGTTACTCCAGTTGAACTCCGGACCCTAATATGAGCAGATAATTATTGGAGCTTTTCCAATATAGATCATTAAAAAAAAACATTTTAATATTCTTAAATTATAGTATGTTAGTACAGAATTTCTCTTTTATTTATTAATATTACGAATATAAAAAATAGTAATATAAATATAAATAAAAACATAAGCAACTCTAAAATGCTTCTAAGAACTGAAAAAAGAACATCAAAGCTTATACATCATTGGGACTTTGAAAATGACGCTTTTGAAGGCGTCCAAATTTAGAAAAAAGTGATGATGATGTTGTTGGATATGGATGGATATCCTCATTTTTTAAATAATTATTCTTGATTTTGTGAATAGATGAACAGTTTATACAGATAGATACCACATACCGTAATTGTTTTGTTTTCGTAATTAATAGAAAAATTGAAATCGCTACATAAAAATTTCAGAAGTATTATGTCAAAAAGCCACTTTATATTGAATCCTAAAAAAACTGCAGTAGCTGGATTCACAGGTCACACAGAGTTAGAAGGGTTAAGGGTCAAAAGAGATCAAGATTATAAACTAAAAATTCGCAAATAATATTTCTAGGTACAGACTTGACTTGATAAATCCAATCAAATAGATTATGTGTCAAAAGAATTTAATTGTTCATAGTTTGTCAAATTATCATTGAAATCTTAAATAAACATGTTTTAACTCTGCCTGATATTTATTTACTTGAACTATTAATTTATATATATAAAAATGAAGAAAATTTTTAAACAAGATATGACATGCATTCCTACTTGACAAGAAACGAAAATAACTTTCAGTTAAAAAAAATTAATAACTATTCTTAAACCGCCTCAGTCCGGATAAACATACTATGGTGTGCTTTCCTGTTGATATCAGAAACGTAAACGAAAAGAAATTCAAAAACTATTTAAAATCTGTTTTATTTTTATTATAATTTTTTACAATATTTAGACGTATCAATATTTTTTTGAAGAAACTTATATTGTTATTAGTCAATAATTGTCTGCTGTACTTGACTGAATGACTATCTAAAATAAAGGTTAAATACTAGTCTTTTTGTAGCAATTTATAGCTGAGTAAACTGTCGCATAATGACACACTTTTTGACATAAATCGATTAAAATAACTTTAAAACTGTAATTGAATTTCTAAATTTCAACAGATGCACACAATGTGGCATTTAGACCAGTTTATTCTATAAACAGTAAATTGCTGTCTCAGTCTCTTCAGCCCCCCCCCCCCTTCTGTATATACTGTTTCATCTGCATATAGAAAAAATTTCTTCCGATATATGCTACTACAGTTTGATTAAAATATTTTTGAATAAAAAATATAAATTCTTAAACTCTGAATGTCTTCTCTTTTAAATATTTAACAATTAAATTTATTTTAATTAGCGTCAATGATTATAGTAAAATCATGTATTCGTTTTTATACCTACTAAGTCGATTTCAGTTCCGTTTTCGAGAACCTGGGTCCTACTCTCCGCCATGGCAACAATCGCAATGCTGAGGTTGGCGCGCAAAAAGTAAACATTGAAAAATCCGAAAAATGCCAAAATCGCGAGCACGTACCGCCTCTTATTCCAAATTTTCCAGTTCTCGAATTTTCTGAAAATCACATAGCCCCTTAAATACTGAAATTTTTACTTTCGGTTATACGTAAACCGCCGACCATCACTCGATATGTACTACTCACTTGACACGTGGTTTAGGTTGGAACTGGCCCTTTTCAACTTTTGAATCGGTCATGTTTATCTGCTCCTAACAGAATTCCCGAAGCACTGCAATCAACGCAAACTTGACTTACAACTCCGAATCGAGTGACAATAACGCGATACACACACAATTTTATTATTAAACAATCTTTTATAGACGACGTAGTAAAATAAGATTTGAGTTATTGTTCAAGCCAGGTAACATTTATTTGATGTCCTATTTTAGTTACGATATTTCTAATAACACAGTTCGCGATAGAATTGTGCTTAGTAAGGGTATTTGTTTTGCTAATGCATTAAACTTTCCCAATGCTTGTCACATAGCAATCTCTTTGCTATCAGTCTGCCGTTAGGTATTTGCCACAATATATAGGATGCGTACTTTTAAAGTGTCAACCATATATCGGTAAGATCATTCAACCTATCGTTAAAATTTGTTACATTATTATTTACATTATTATTTGATTTAAATTATAAAAAAGTATAAACCGACTCAAAAGTGGATTTTGACTTCCCTGTATGATAAAAATCGAAATCACAATTTAGGTCAGCAAGCAGATCTCCATATGAATTTATGGCATTTATTTATGTCCATCAGTTTTACTGGCTTAGCAAAGAGAAAATAAAGGTGAAAACATTATGTGTTTCTAAAACGATTTACATTTATTGGTAATCCTATATGCCTATCTTATCTAGATTGATACATTGTAGTTCGGTATGCTATAGATATGTTTTTACGATATTTATATACATAGCAAAATTGTCAGATTACCTTTTAAGACTTTTACTACGGCTGCTTATTGTGCTGAAATCAGATTTTCAAATGTAATTCGCAGGCGACTAGACCAATAAACATTTTTTGCATTTAAATTTGTAAGACAATGGAATTTTTAAAACAACGACGAACCGTCCAGTTGATTAAGGTTATCAAATTTTAAGTGGGTATATACAAGGAATGAGTGTGACATCCAAAGCACATACCGTAAAGAAAAAAAATCTATGCTTGGGATTATTTCAGGAAGCAGAAGTTTGTCTTGTTATAACAATTTATTTGGATGCACTAGATAGAGGTCAGAAATGTTCCTAGCAAGTAAATTAACAAAAACTTACTTCGGAAAATATTTAAGTGGCGCGGCTGATTTTCGAAAACTGTAACTCTAAAATAATGCGTTTTACGCTTAATAAAAATAACTACACAAACACATAAAATATAGGAGTAAAGCGAGCGACCAGATGAATGTCTAATTTTTTCTACCTCGTTTTTACCTCCGTTGTGCGTGGTGTACATATCAGTTTCCGTAAAAGCGGTCCTTAAAGCTTGATCTGCACGTATTAGTTTGTCGTCAATAAACAAATAGGGTTTCTATTTAATTTAAACGGATATACAAGCACAGTGTAAGGAAGTAAAATTCAATTTCAAAAATTGATTAAATAATACGGTACAATGAAGCATATTTAGTAAAATGCACAAAAATTCCAGTATTTTTTTTAAGGATCTCTCTCAGTCGTAGGTATGATAAAATAAAATCAACTGCTTTAAAAATAGAAATTTATTTTACTAGTGTATGTATAAAGAGGCGGTAAAGAATGGGATAACAATTTCAAAAATCGATGACAGTGGCATGACATTACTTTATATGCAATTTTCTATTAGTATATAATAATATCATAAAATGGTGAAAAATAATATGTTTTTCGTGGAGACTAATACTTGTACATATCACACAAACCGAATATGTTCTGGAATCCGTTACAATTCGTCATCGGATGTAAATGTTTTGTTTTCCACGCCGTTTCTTTCCATTTTCTCCCGACTTTCTGTCGCCCACGGCTGAAGGTTTCCCGAAGCGCACGTGCCATACACCACTGCCCCAAACAAATAGATGCCAGCCGACACGTAAAAAACTATTTGCCACTCAGAAACCTCCTAAAATAAACATGTGTGCAATATCAAAGGAAATAATCTTAAATAAAATAAAAAAGCAGGGGTTATGTTTGCCCTATTTAGTGAATAATTCTATTAACCAAGCTGCCTTTCCAGAGCAGATCAAATTGGTTTTGATAAAACCAGTGCATAAAAAAGGAACACCAAATTTGCTCAGTTTACTAAAGTAAATCTCAAATAATTGGTAAAAAAAAATTAGCACTAAGTTCATTGTGGCGTTTAAGTAAGGCGTTTGAGTGCCTAAATTTAGAGATATTTAGAGATAAAGCATTTAATTGGATAAAATCGTTCTTTTCCAACAGAAATCAGTATATCATTACCCAAAAGGACAGCAAAGCTATGAAATCGAAAATCTTAGAAAATTAGTGTATGGACACCCCAGGGTAATATACTGTAAATAATTTTAGTCCAGCTGTGGACTCCACAAACATCCTAGTACCTGGAGAAAATCCGTGATAATAAAGAAAATAAATTTGTCGATTATGCAAAACTGTAGAACTTTTGATTGTTTGGAATAAAACTATTCAACACAGTTAAAAAAAATACAGATCAACGGAACAGCGCAGTTGCTTCGTTGAGAGATCAAAAACTGTAATACTCAGAAGTACCAATAAATCAAAAAGGGCATATAAGTAACAGCAATACTTAAATAGCAAAATGTTTAAAAGATACAGATGTCAAACGAGTCTTCATAAATCTCAACAAAAATAGACCAATAATAAATAGCAGTAGGACCAAATAAAACAAATGCTGAGTTTATAGAAAACTTATCTTAGGAAATAAACATTTAGACATTTCTTAGGCAATGAACATCTAGATATGGACCGTATGTAGCATGTACAAAATTAAACAGGGTAGATTATGCTATTAGAATGGTCTACTGTGCTAATTTTGAAAATATTCTACGATATTGCAGAATATTTTGGGGTAGTGCTTCCGATATAAAAAGAGTTTTTATTATACAAAAGGGGACCATAAGATCAATGAAAAAAATGAAGAACAAGGACTCTTGTAGAGGAGGCTTTAAGTAATTGCAAGTAATGACTGTGTATGAAACCACGGACTTTCGATAACTGAGAAAGGACATTAGTATAATTGCATCGAGATATGTACAACCATCTACCAAATTTTGTGAAATGTATCGACACAGCAGAAATTTCAAAAAGGTTGTCAACGAAATACTAGTGAGACTAGAACTATATTCACTTGAATAATGCTTAATTATATATATTATTATTATTAATATTATTATTATTCTCTTTGTACTGTTATTTTTGTAGAAGCGAATTGAAATATAGAAGTTTTATTATTAACAGTTTTATTATTTTCTTGTTTAACTTACAGGCGGTTTGGAGACGATGTATCCCGACAAAATGGGACTCACTATTCCAGGTAATGTGGCGATCGTATTGCCGATCCCCATCAGGACACTAGCGTATTGCGGCGCAATATCCAAATGATTCACGCTGAAACCTTATTCATAACGCAAGTGTTTTGAAATGGTGGTCGTGTACCTGAATCCAGCCCAAGCGAAAGCTCCAAGTCCTACAGCTAGAGTTAGACAGAAGACGGTTCCTACTTTGTCGGACCAAAAGGCAGCGCCCATCATAAAAATGGTTTGAGCTACGAATCCGCTACAATTGAAAATGACTCTGACTTGCGTGGTCGTCAGGATGCCTTTGGTTCGGAACCAGTCTGCCCACTGACCAGAAAATTGCATCATTATTGCCATTACAAGGTAGGGAAGACCGGATAGGAACCCAGACTTGCCAAGATCATAATTGTGGATATCTGCAAACATGAGCTTGGCAGTCATTCAAATGGATTACAAAAAAATAAAGAGTTCTTAGTATCCGTCCTTTTGGAGAAAATTTGTTCTTGCGAAATTTGAAGATTTTGTGATCATGGAACAGAATTTCATTCAAATAGATACAAAAAATAAAGAAGATATACATATAATTCATTGCAAAGATAATAATTAATCTATTTGAGCTACAGATTCTTATTTTCCCTCTCAGCAAAAGCATTGTGCTAAATGCATTTAATTAACTATTCTAACTAACTTGATTTAATAAACTATTTGCAGCAAAGCACTTAGCTAGAATTAAAAATAGGTTGTCCTTTTCTGTAATGCATAAAAAGTTCGTCTCTATATTTGAATTCTTCTTGTGTGTTATGATGGTTTCATTGGAGTAATTAAGTTTAATTGATTAGAATAATTCTTTAATGTTTACTCAGATTTTGAACAATGAGTATTTATTCTAATAATTATATCTTGTTATTCGCATCGGGTTTAAAAAATCCAAGAATGTGCTGACATTAAATTTTAAAATACTCTTTCAATTTATAGCGACTTTATATTCTTGCCTTTCGGTTGCCATTGTCCATCTCCATCTATCTAGGTCAATCCAATAACTATTGTTGAGACTGTGTTCTGAAATCGAATTGAAGATCCCTTGAGCTCTGCCGTCACTAATTTGGGATTCTTTTTTCGGATCACTCTTTGAATATGCCCAAACCTTAGACAACGCTGTGTTTAAGTTTCACCATCTGGCGAATCCTATCATTTCGTACATGGTCTCGTCAGGATATTCTAAGCCAGATGTGCATTTCTATTGCCCGATTTTTTTTTGTTCATTTAATAATACCTCGCATCCATTATACTTTCTATGATTGTTTTAGACCATAGAATGGAGTATAGTGTTCCAGTTAACGCCTTGCCTTTCATTATTCGGTCTTCAAGTTCTTTTTCACATCTTTCCATCTTCTATTTTAAGTCGAAGATATAGATATGTTTCTTTCCAGTATCAGATCTTCAGGCTGTCCTTCTAGTTTTCCTTATACTTATCTGCAAGTTCCACTCGTTACCATGGGCTACAAGAACCTGGGCGTTATAATAATAAAATGTCTAAAGTAGTCTTTCGAAAGTTGGAAACCATTTTTTTTGCATTTTCAGTGCTATAGAAGTAGAGCTTATTTCAGATATAATTTGAAGAGTGTAGGTGAGAGGCAGGATCTTTGTCGTCGATGTTTGATTGCCGGAAACAAGCCAGATATCGACAAATTTTGATTCATGAATTTGAGCTTGGGTAAAATCGTTTAATTGGTTCCATGGTCGTACTAATGTCAAATGTTTTTCCCATCACTTCCCATAGTTTTTTGATTAGTACCACCGCAAAGTTTACAAAGTGGAGGTGAGTTTTTTCATTGATAGTAGCTTTTTTTTCTATAATATGTTATCTAAACTACATCGCTCTGTTCCAAATCCTCCTTGTTCTTTTATTTCGAAGAGTCCATATTCCTCTTTTAAAATTTGGTCTAGAAGCTATCCCTATAGCTTAGTGGAAGTGTTTTAGCATTTATAATATGATGGGAAAATGAATTAGTTATGTGTGCTTTTTAAAGACAAAGTAATGATTAATTGTGTTCTTCTATACGGCGTATCTTGGAATTGACCACTTTCAGCTTATTGAGCACCGAACCCTTAAAACTCATATGTAAATTCTGTTTGAGATCTTTTAAAATACAAGACACCATTTAAAAACAATACAATAGTTTTACATACGTTTTAAATGTCTCTTTATTAGAATAACAAGTCGTTCTTATAAAAATGGCACTTTGCTGTTGCAGCAAAGTAAACTTTTGCTGCCACAGAAAAGCTCTTAGCTGGCCTATAATGTGAATAGAGCTTTTTGCTACAAACAATTTTGTGACTGATGTTGCAAAAATCGTTGCAGCGGGAATAAATAATAGTTGCCAATATCTACTGCCCGGGACTTTTTAAATTTAAATAAAAAAAATTACCTTTCAAATATTTCGGCAATTGCGTTAACAGGGTGTAAAAGCCCCAATTCTCGCTAAAATGGGAAATAACGATCGCCCAAACAGCTTTCGAAGTTAGAATCGCTTGCCATGGAATATTTAGCTCTTTGTTGCTCCCACCATCGCTCAGAGACCTCTGAATATATTCCAATTCGCTCTTGGTTATATGTTTGTCCTCTTCCGGAGAATTGGTAACCACGAGCGACCACAGCCCGTACCAAATTAAGCCAATTATCCCTGAAAAGGCAACTTCCTATACCGGCAGAAGGAACGTGAAGACTTCCCTTACCAAAACAGTAAAATATGCTTTGCCAACCGAAGGAGCTCGCCAAATAAGCGCAAGCTGGCATTGAAACTACCGTGCCAGCGTAGCTTCCGGAAAACGCTATGGTGGCAAGCCTGCTTCGTTCCAGTGGTGGTGCCCATTTCGCCCAGATTGCGTGTATACATGGATACGTAACTCCCTGAATGCAAACACATCGATATTATCTACAGATTATATCGCAGATTTTGTTACCTCGAAAATACCTTCAATGATTCTTACAGCTAGGAGGAGGTAAACGTGAGCGCTAGCTAGCCATGGCGTCACAAGAGTCAGTAGCGCTGTTACACCTATACCGGCTCCGAATATTATTTTACCACCAAATCTAGCCGATAAGTAGCCCCCCAGGAGTTGGGTGGTTATATAACCGTAAAAGAAAGAACTCAGAATGTAACCCTGCATTTCGTTGCTCCAGTCGAATTCGGGACCCTAACGAAATTTTTTCCAATGAACAACTTTTCAATGTTTACCGAAAGTTTGGGTAAATACTAGTTACATAATTTGCGAATTTGATTTAATTTTGCATTTACTATGTAGACTATAGAAATAATGTAAAAACAGCATTTGTTTCGGATTTTATTGAAACCCTCTATATACATTTTTCATAGTTTCAGTAGCGTTTTACTAACCATAGATATTCGGGTTCCGTTCTCCAGAGTCGAAAATCTATCTTGGGTCATGGCAACGATAGCAATACTTAAATTAACCCTTAAGCAGTAGACATTGAAAAATCCAAAAAATGCGAGGGTCGCTACCACGTATCGTCTCTTCTTCCAGAATTTCCATGATGGTGGATTTTCCGTTGGAGGAATGCTACAAAATGATTCCTAGAAAATTTCGAGCAGTCCAAAATGTCTAAATTCCAAATAGGATCACATGAAATGCGTAGAAAAGAGAAACCTGTTTTGGTGATCCTAAATTGAAAAAACACATTCCTCTCTTTTATAACATATTATCTATAGAGCTGTAGATAGTTCAAAGTAATTTCATTCTACCAGCAACTTAATTAAGATTTTCAAAAAGAAATTCAGTTATTATTTTTTTGCAAAATAACTACAATCTGACTATATAAAATTTTATATTTACAGGGGCAAGCAAGCCACATTTTTTTCTTAATAGGATATACATTTTTTTGCCATTTGAGAAAGAATTTATAAAATTTAGATCTTCATCTTTTACTACCACATAGCGAATTTCCACCAGCAATTTTAATAAAACACTTAACCCAGGAATCACCCTGTATATAAAGTTGTTCCCTGTTAAGCTCGCCATATGGTTACCTACAATATTATAATGTGAATTCTGGCTTTGTAGTTTAATGAATTTAATTGGCTGGCTATACTTTCACATTAATTGTATCAATAATTATTTCATTTACCTATTTGAATTTATTCCGTATGTCTTAACCGATTTTTCTTTGTTCGCGAAAGGCATATTTTGATTTCGCACCTTAACAAACACACCGATTTGAAACGATTGAATTCTTATCGCTTTGAACAGTAATTTCGCTAGCTAATTTCAACATTTACCAGAAACGCATAGTTTTAACGAGAGGTGTACGGCTGTTGATATGAACAAACACCATTTCATTTGCTATTGCGATCGGAATTTTCGTTCAAACACCCGTACCACAATAACGAACTTTCTATTCGATTGAAGGGCAAGGTCGGGCCATTGATCTGCCAATATTAAATATTTTACTTGATTTTCAACGATTAAAGTGGCGGCAAAGGGTTCTAAAATTAAACCGCATAAAATACAATTTCAAATTTACTAAAATTGTAATAGGGTGTAAAACCATTTTAAACTTTTGTCTATACAAAGGTATCTATTGTAATTGTTTAGCATGAGCCACATTTTTACTAAATATTTTACTGAAATCTAAAAATTAAAATTATTTTGCTTGGGACGTATGTACAGTGATCTGCCATCGAGATACGTTTCCTATTCGTCCATGTGTGTTTCTGAAGCTTTTTCCAAGATGGCGCAACAGGATTTTGAAATGTTCAAGTTGTGTCACGTTCAGAATATTTACGTCGTTTTTAGGGAAGTGTCAGTGTCAAAACTCCCGCAGAAATAAATAACAAGTCGGTTCTTGCGCGATGTAATTATTATTATTTTTTTTAATACTTTCAGAGCAATGGCTTATGTTAATGTGAAAGATTGGTCTGTGGACCAAGTAATGGACTGGTTAAAAGGTAAGAACATTACAGCCCTGCGTTTATCAGTTTAACCATTTTTTTTATTATTGTAGGCTTAGATAATGTTCTTCTGCAATATCACGCATCTTTTCTTAATAATGGTGTGACTGGTCATCAGCTCTTAAACCTGAGAGCCGATGACTTAGAGCATTTGGGTGTGAAAGCTCTCGGACATCAAGAAATTATTTTGGAAGCTGTCGAACACCTCAGAAATTTTGTGAGAAAATATTTGAAACCTCTTGTGAATTTTAGTACAATTACTGATACCTTTTCAGCATTTTGAATTGGATAAAGAAAACCTGCAAATGCTTGCATTACGTTTATCATGTGCAGCAAATTCTTTGTTTAAAGAACTGTTACTCATTGATGATGCTTGCGATACAGTTAATACGCAAGTAATGTCTGATGTCCATAATATTATATCCACTATTAAGCCCTTGGTGTTGTGGTTAGAAAGGTAGTACTGCACCTCATGATATGGTTCTCTTATTCTTACAAAATGAAGCAACTTTTTAAATTTTAGATCTCCATTTACTCAAGATAAGGACTATATAGAGAATAAGAGGGAATTATTAAATTTGGGATTTGTAATGGCCACATGTGCTCATAGAGGTGTATTCTCAGAAAATCCTGTAAGAACTATTAGAGAGATCTGTGAAAAATTGTCCAGAATTGCCGATCATATTATCCAGGTCAGCAAACTTCACTTCTACAAGTATTGCATCAGCATACAAAATTAAATCATTTTCAGGATATTTGTGATCCGATGATATTACAGCCTGCATCCTTGGATTTAGCCACTTTAAAAAAAAGAGAACATGAGCTAGGTTTCTATATATTGCCAACTCATCACCCAATTCACCAAATAGGTGAGATTAAGTTTGGATCTCCTGCTCATGGTAGCACAAAGATAGAAGAAGGAGATGAAATTGTACAAGTGAACTACCAGACTGTTGTCGGGTGGCAGTCAAAGAAGGTAATGATTCTTTTGCAAGATTCACCTCCAGAGATTGTTTTGACATTAAAGAAAAGGCCCAGACACTCAAAAGTATATGGGCAGATCTATATGAAACCTTACAGGCTGCCCAGCAGGAAAAGGGGGGATAATTGGAGCAAGTGGACTGAGAATCTTCCCTCACCTAGACTTTTGCCAATCTTGGATTTGCCTCCAATTAAAATTACTAAGTAGGGATGTTCGGTTGTTATAAGATGGCATTTTATTAAATATTTGGTACTGTTTTAGAAGTGAAGAAGACTTGGAAACCCAAGATGTTGGGGTTGAGTTAAGCAGTAGTGACAGTGAGCCACCCGATAGTCCATTGGATGTTAATTGCCGCATGTATCCTCTTAAACCCAGACCCATTTTGCAAAGGCGGAACACTATTACCGGTACCACTCCGACAAGCAAAAGACCATATGCCTCAATAGATCAGGTAAGCGGAATAAGCGTTTTTAAAGACCATATTAATTGTGACCATTTTTATGCAAAATCTGTATTATCAGCTTTAATTCTATAAAATTGATAATTTAGTATTAATAAGAAATGTAAAAAGTGTTTAATTTATGTGACTGTACCTCGTATATCCTATAGATAATTGGGATAAATGTTTCTTTTTAACACTTTCATTCATTGTGGTGATAAGAAGTGAATCGTTTATATATCAAAATATGCCGCCGTTATATTTAATATCAGCAAGTTATAACCAGCCAAGTCTCCCCAACATCCTGTAGAGATAAATATTTGTGCGTCTGGTATGTGTTTATTTTTGCCCAGAATTACGTTAGTGTGATTGTGGATTGTGATATACGGTAATTTTACCATGTAAGTAGATGAAATATGCCGATTTTTATTTTTATATTGCTATTTTCTATATATTTTTTAAATTCTGAGATAGGTTAACCTTTTATTTAACATAGCAGAAAAATTTAAAAAAATTACTTGTTGAGTCGCCTATGAGGATAATTTAGAAAATTCGAGTTGAGTTGAAGTTTAGATATAATAAACCTATCTACCCTAATAATTAGGTTTTGGTTCCAGTGGTCCTGAAATTGATTGAATTTGGGTTTTGTATGACAGATGGATAATATGGGATATTTAAACGTAGTTTTCAGCTATAATCAACAACCCTCATATATGGCTCAAAAATTTTAGATCTGTTGCGCCATTTTAGGTTTTGCACCATGCAGAACATTTCCTAAAGAGCAACTTTTTCTCGTAAATTTTTTATCAAAGTTAAGTGGAATATTTCTATTTTGTTAAAAATAAAGGTACTTTACTCTTGAGCAAAATTCATATTTTTTGCCGACCCTGCTCTATGGCTCAAAAAAATTAATATTTGATAGTTGTATGTATTTTAGGTGTTAGACCATGGCAGTACTTAAAGTATAGTTTTTTGCAGGAAAATTATTAATAAAAAACTTTTCCGACTATCTATTATATTAAACTCATCGTTTTGTTTTATTTTTCTTCCAGTATTGGGATTTTATAAAGTCTCGAACAAGTACAAATCACGCTGTCAGCACTTACAACATAGACGATAAGAATTTCGAATCGAACTCGATGTTTTTGCGCGACAAAAGCGCTTCTTGCAATGTCGGGTTAGATTTGAGCCCGCGACCAACCACCGTAGGTCTAGGAATCGGTCTCGCCCAAAGCTACCGCAAAAATTCTCTGAAAAAAAGTTTCAAAGAGAGCGGCACGGAAAAGGAATCTCGGTCGGCAAAGAAAAAAGTAAATTTCGACGAAAAGTCAAAGTCTAACGATGAAAAGAAGAGCGAAAAAGAAAATTCAATGGGTAACCCTCACCTCACCGTGAACACCAATTTAAACGAAGAAAAGAGCCTGAGCATTAACAGTTTGTCGAGTTTGTCGGAGTCAAACATCGATTTTATAGATGAAGGTCGCGAGTTAACCGACAGAACTAGTATGGCTTGCCAGAGGGACTTACCGGAACCGGAAACGGCTGCCTCCAAACCGGCGGCGAACGAAAAGGTTCGGGACCCCATACTTTCGGAAATAAATGTACACAATATTATAAAGAAGTTCGACGATAGCCAAAAGAATTTAGCCCCGAAGCAGCCTCAAGTTAAACCCAAAGTTTTGCCCAGAAATCATCCAAAAAAACCGCCGGATGTACCCGAAAAACCAGATAAGAGGCCGGCAGTGCCACCTAGAAGCGCGACCACAAAGTTGAGGGGAAAATTAGATAAAAGTCACAGTACACCCGCTTACGATTTGACAGGTAAGAATTAAGAATGTCTTGAATATGTTCATTTTATCAAGGCAATTGTTGTTCCTACACTTTAATTTAATGCTCCTAACGGAATAAGATTTCTACATCTCTAATTTTCAATATTTTGTTTCAACAACAAATTTATATAGAAATAAGTGCAGATTTATTATAGATACTCCTGTTCCTTCTTTGTCATGTATGTATTGTGCCATTATTTAGTGGTCATTAATTGCCTCTATCAGAGTGACATTTTTATTTGAATTTATCTATTGATATGTAGGAAACATAAATTCATAATGACAGTAATAATGTATAATAATAACAAACCATAATGCAAAATAATAATAATAGAAAAGAACATGTAGAAAACTATATATTGAGAGAAAACAAATAAAATATAAGTATATTTTTGTTGTTTTAAGTGTTTGTGCAATTGGTTTGGACTAGGTGGCCGACAGGAAAAGCTTGATTTAAAATATCATATTAGTAATTCCACTCCATAAATTATTATTGTAAAATTTTTCCGCAATGGTACATTAAAACTATTTCATTATAGTTTGTAGTTCATTGGCATATCTTATTGGTATAATTTATTATTCATAGTTGATGGTTTATCATGTGTCTTTCTTATTGCTGTCAGGGCAACAGTTTTTTTATTTATCTAGTATATTATTTTGTTAATTCAGTTTTAATTCAACACGTTGTACACTAATAGTTTACATTTTTTATGTATATTCTTTAAGTGTTAATTGCAATATATTTGCTTATTGTAAACTAACAACGTGTACTTATACAATTATTTTAGTCATTTATAATTCACAGTTAGCACTTAAAATACAGGGACAAGTATAATTGAAAACGAATGTGTCAACGAAAAATGTAGATGTACACTTCCATCCCTCAAGATTAAGTGCTTATTTAAATATATCTCAATGTTACTACACCACTTCCAAAAACTATTTCTCCTTTAGTCCTGCCATTTACGTATATAAATAAAGTCAGTAAATAAAATACAACAACACTCACATGTCGTCTGGTAACTCATTAACAAATTTGATACCGAAATATTTAGACCATATTTCTGTGTAAGTTAATGTAAGAAAAAGTCAAGTTGCAGATATATATATTTTTTTGTTTGTTAGAAAGGAGGGAGGATTTGAACTGGGGCTTGTGTTTTAGATGAAGAACCCACTCATATGGAAAATGCCCCAGTAACTCCCAAACCATTACTCTTAGAGAAATTACCGGATGTTGTCCCAAAAATACTAGAGTCGGTTGAAACTTCTTCTGCAAATAAAGATAAAGACTATTCTCCATTCAAGGAAGCGATTCTCGAATCCAGTCACCCCATAGAAATGTGCAACATCGCGGTGATAGAAAAGATTAAAGCGTCGGATTCGTTTTTACCGGTCGATGAGCCAAAATCGGATGCGAAACATAACCAAGTAGTGGAGGTGCCTCCGAAACCGCCACCGCGGATTTTGCCTGATACTCCCAAACCGGTCTACCCTGTGGATTCACCCAAACCCCAAGGCTTTGCGAAAAAGTCATTTGATTTTCAAGACAATCAGTCGGAAATATCTCGGACGATGTCCACACAGTCCGTGGATTCCAACGACTACCTAGTGCCGGTTCACGCGTCAAAGAAGCAAGAGATCCCTAGTAAGGTTCCTATTAGAGTTGAGAGGAATCATTTCGAGCCCAAAGTTGCTTCTACGCCAATGGCGAAAACGAAGATGGATTTTAGTGAGTTCGACTGTATCGGTTTCAAAAGTTCACCAAACTACGATATCCAGAAGAGCTCCAGTGAAACCAAGGTTTCACCCACTAACTCCATTGTTAAGGCCATGATATCAGGTAGAACCAGGTCCGGTAAAAAGAAGAACAATTTGATAGCAAGTGAGTGGTCTCAATTGCCTCGTTTTGCTTCATTTTAAACATTTTTATTATTAATTTTCTAATTTCATTGCAGAGAGGAGGAAAGTGACAGTGAATGACCTGAGTCCCGCGGATATTCAGGGTTACCTGTATCAGAGACTCAGGGGGAAGCATAATCAAAATGTTCATTGGGAGCAACGTTGGTTTGTCCTCTTGGGCAACTGTTTGTACGGCTTTACTAACAAAGAGGATCCACGGGCGGCGTTTTTGATTTTTTTGTCTGGTTTTACAGTGGCTGTTGCTAGTGAGGTTAGTTTTTTTTGGTGTCCTTTTAGTAGTAGTTATATAAAAAAAAGGTTATTTCAAGGCTTGGGTGGTTAAACTTTTTTAATATATTTGGGATTCAGATTGAAGCAAATTACTTGTATTTTCCGTTTCATTGTTAGCACTTAACATTAATCAAGAAATATTTAGAATTATTATGGAAAAAAAAAGAAAAAACAAGATAAAACAGTTAGTACAAAATTAGTTTAGTTAATAAGTATATGGTGCGGCTTTGGCAAATTAGTGAACTGCTGAAAAGTTCCTGTTTCCATGCGATTGATTTCTTGTCATTAAGGAGCCTAAGACGGTGGCTGTGACATGTAAAATATAAAGTAATTCTATCGCCAAGACAAGTGGAAAACCACCTGGTTCACCATTCATTGCTCCTATCTGTCGCAGGCCTCTAATCATTTTAATAGCAACAAAAGACTTTATTATAAAAAAATACAAAGGGTGAAGTCGAGATTAAGACATCCCGAGGGTTGCTCCCAGTTGGCCACAAAAAATGTGAAAACCACCTGGAAATCATCTGGAAACAGCATTTGACATTTCAACTATTACGATAACTACCTGAAACAAGAAAAAACGAATTTTAGTAAATAAAACACAACAAATAATAGAGAGTAATCTAGAGATTAAGAGACGTAACGCATTTTCAGAACATTGTTTATCCCAAAACTAGAGCCATAACAAAAATAAAATAGCAATTTACACAAAAAAAATCCTGGAAGCAGACAGGTATCAAACAGAAATACTAGTAACAATTGCAGCCTTTTATTTTTATTCTATTTATTTTTATTACGACAGATGAACTTTAATTCTGTAGGCACTGTTTTTCCCTAAAACAAACAAGAATGATAAAGACCTACTTTTATGTGAATCATCGGAATTAAATTTTCTTATAAAGATAATAAATAAAGATAAGGTTTATGGATAAAAGTTAGGGCATGTTAGGGCACACATCTTAAGCCACTTATCAAAAACATTGTCAAGTTGTTTTTGGACATAAGGTCACTGTTTGACATTTGTCTTAATTTTTAAGGATTCGAGTTATTCTTCTTCTGTGGTTTTGACAATTCTTCATGATTGCAAAACAGATCGCATATATACTTTAAATTGTATATTTAAATGAACAACTCAATTATATAACATAAAAATGTTAACAAAAAAAAAAGCAAAACACATTGTAAATCATTTTAGAAATGTCCAGTAAGGGGAATTTTAAAACTCGGTTTCTACAAAAATAGTCTCAGTGTCCATATTCCCAGAAAGGCGTAACGCATGGTAATAAATCGTTAAACGATGTTTTTGCTAGGCCATCAGTCATATTATGAGTGCAACGATTGCGATTGCGATTCCTTACCTTTGTTGTTTTCTGACATAATCGCAAAAAAAATAATTTTCAGAAAAACGAATAAACGCCACGATAGGGCTTTTTTTATGTCATTGGTTAGCCAGATAAGAACCCAACAACCCAGTGAAAACTGCACACTAATATCTTTATCCTAACTTAGAATATGAATAAGAGAATTTAACGCTCAATACCCATCAAATCCTTAATCTCCTTGATAACAAAAATTAATACTCCAGGTGAAATCGAGATCCAACGCGTTCAAGGTATACCACACGGGAACCGTTTTTTATTTCTCCGCGGAAGACGGCGATTCGCTGCAAATGTGGCTGGACCTGATCCGCGCCGCGTGTTTACACAACGACAGCAAAAACCATGACGGCAGCCTTTATTCCGAGACAGACGATTCAGACAGCGAAAAACCGAAGGCGTCGAACAACGAGAAGACAGACTCGCTGAAAAAGTTCGGGTCGCTGAAGAAGTTCGCGTCGAAGAAGTCGCCGGGCGACTCGGGTCACGGCGGCGGCAGCACCAGCCTCGATAGGAAATGGTTTTTCAACAAGTCGAGCAATAATCAGCCGAAAAATAATTTGCCCGTGCCTACCGCGCAGTTCAGGTCGTATCGGAAAATGCGGGCGGCCGAACCCGTGAGCGTCAGAACCGGGAATTTTACGTCCCACGTTCCACTGTTCGCGCCCGGCAATCTCGCACAATCCCAAAACGTCAGCGTTCCGAATTTAACGGTCGAAACGTTCGGGAAATGCGGTACCGAGTCGGCGAAAGTCAAACAGAAAACGGGGAATTACGTCCACGCTAGTAACCCGAGTCTGTGCAATGTGAGCGAGTACAGCGTCGCGACCAGCTCGACCGGTAAAGGCGGTTCCAAGACGGGACACGAGAATTTCGAAGGTTTCGTGACGCTCGAGGAGCTGATGAACAGACAGACGGAAGAGCGGAAGCTTAATCCCCATCACGTGCTCGAGGAGATGCACATGAACCTTAATCTCATTAAGCCGGACGTTGTTTACGGTAAGTTCATTTGAACTACTGGCATCGCGATTTCGGGCGATCTTACTTACTATTACTTGGGCTGTCAAAAAGTAAGATGAAAAGGTACAGTTGGGGTTGCAGTCCTATAACGTCATTATCAATCGGTAATAGAAAGCGCATGAAAATCGAAAGTTACTAAAAGTTCGACGTGTCAAAAAACGTTCTAGAGCAGTTGTCGTGGCTGGTTGGAACAAAACCCTTTAAACTTTTCCTTTGCGCTCTGTTTTGAGTGGGGTAATTTTATGGATTCAGTATCGCAAGGGATGCTATATCCAGAACAATTTCCGAAATATTTGATATTTAGACGAGACAAGACAAATTTTTATTTCCAATGACTTTTCACAAAGTATAGGATAATGTCATATAAAACGTGTTAAAATTAAATATATTATTAAGGCATAAGTTCGGAGACGTCGCAATTTAGATATTCATTTATGGCATAAAAAACTTTTTTTTTGCGAAAATATTTTTAAGTACACTTTTAGAGGCAATACGTTTTTGTATTTTCTTAACCTCAGTGGGAATTTTATTATAGAGTTTAACTGGTAGGACTATCGAGTTATTTGCTACCTTAGCCAGCCTGTGCCGAGGCAACATCAAATTCGAATCAAATCAAATCAATCAAAATCGAAGATAATATATATAGAGACGGAACCGTTAAGCATTTGAGGTTGTGACGACCGCATCGTCCGCGCATAATGTTATCAAAGAAATTTTTTAATAAAAGCGGTACCAGTATGCTTCCTTGAGGTACTCCTCTGATAACTGGAGCATAAGATGAATTAACCGAGAGTTCGATAACATGTTGTTTTAAAATAGACATTTTCGCATTCCAGACTTCTACGAACTTTGGAGAATTTTGTATTTGAACTATTATTATCGAAAAAGTAAATATAACAATTGTATTCGCAACTCTACTCAATAAAAAAACATCTGCTGAAACTACTTCTAACTTGCTGTTATATGAATATTTAGCTATATTTAAAGCATTTGCCACGCTTTCGGTTTCACATTACTGCCTTTGATTAAAAATGTTGCTGGGAATTTTAGGTTTTTCATTATTGTTTCTATTTTAAAAGTTAAACTATAAGAAGCAAATGGTTCACAAATGTGCTCACTAATACGTGAGAATTGATAAAATTATTCATATTCATAAAAGGAGAAATAAAGCATAACTAACCTAACTAATCTCTAGATCTCGCTCAAGTAAGTGTAAGTGAGTAACATTTTTTCACGTCAACGTAGCTTACTTCGGTTAGCTATGACTTCATCAATATCGTCTCCAAAATAGTTGAACCATCTTATTTGTCCAACTTTAACTTACTTTTCGTCGTCTGAAATCGACTTATCTCATTTTCTACTGTAAGTTCAGTTGAGCTATTAAAGGCTATAAAGCGTTTGCGTGTAAATCTGAGCGTTTTTCGGTATTTCTAGTTGCTCCAACATGTAAACAAAATACTAGCAACTAACCAAATGCCTTTGGTTGTTTAATTCCAAGTTTAACTGAAATGTGGGCCAACTCTTTAAATCTAATTGGTTGTTAAATATAATTAAATCAATCGCAAACATGAATCTTATTTATGTGTGTCTAGAGAGTGTTATTTTAGAGATATCACATTTTATTCGGTCCAAAACGAAAGAAAAAGCTGACCCCACTGTCACTGACAATCGCGGTGCCTATCGTTTCAGGGTATCTAGGTTATTCATTTGGTGCCTGGTTGTGTGCTGTTCACTCGGGTTATGTTTTGCTTACAAGCGTCAACTTTAATTGGTAACAAATAGCAAAAATCTTAGAAGGTTATTAGATTTATCGATAAACAAAAATATGTAATTTTCTAATGTATTCCATCCAAATATCGTTTAAAGTGATCTTTTATTCAATAGCAACAAAAGGGTAAATAATTTAAATTTGTAATTAAATGATGTTTGGTTACATGGTAACGTTATTTAAACATATTCAATTTAAATAAATCTTAGTTAATAACAGGAGAGGAGACTAGGGGCCTAATTAGAAACTAACCAAAACTGCTGTTAAGTTGCCAGTGAAGAAGTACAGTGTAATTTTGTATGGATTTAATCAGTGGAGAGAATTGCTTTAAGGCGCATGGCCAGACACCGGCACAGGTTGAGAAATACTGTTTTACCTAATTTTTGTATGTGAGAGAATTTAATTTTGGAGATACAACACATAAAAATGTTTGTGAATCATTTACAGATGATTTGGGATTATCAGCAACTCATGAATTGGAAGTTTGTGTAGCTAAAATGGAGATAATATTACACACAACTGCGGAATGACTAAATAATGAAACTGGGACTTAGTGTAGTTTAGAGCTTTTTGATGTAGCCTTTCTTGAAAATAGTGAATTCCCGAGTGGAATAGTGGTTTTGTTAAAAGCAAGAAACGTTGGCTGTGCTGAAAGAAAAGTAGTTGCACTAGTGAGTCACTTTCATTTGTAGTCTGGATTGATTAAACTAACGGTGAACTTGAGTGGTGTTTCAATCTATTGCTTAGAAGTAGCGTAAACATTTTTTTGGGGTTGGGTATTAGCAATATTTGTATCTTGGTTATATATTCCAGTTTCTGGAGTTCGGGAACAACTTCCAAAACGAAACATGGAAAGAAAGGGTCATTTAACAACATGAGTCACTATTCATTCAACTTTTCGACTGTACAACCCAACAAGTCAAACTTGCTCTGTAGCAAGATAAAAATATTCTAAAATTCCTAAACCGGGTAAAGACAAAATTAAACCAAATAAGTTAATATAGCATAGATAATAGTAATAAGCTAATATAGCATAGCTAATGGTGAATATAGCATAGATTTGTGCTAGATCAACGGAAATAATATATTTTTAGTTAGATGATGCAGTTCATTTGAACTTCTTTGTCTAGAAAACATCCCAAATACATTTCCACTTGAATGTGACTTGCTTTAGCGTATTGCCAATTCATTAGGTTTTGAAAATGGACCTGATTGGTTGAAAACGAGTTTTGATGACACGTCACAACATATTTTTATGTTGCCTTCAAAAGTGCCTGTTATCAGTATACGCAAGACTTCTGAAATGTTAACAAATAAATAAATCCGGAAGCAGAAATCTCAAAAATATGTTTGCTTTTCGATTTTTTATCTCCTTGTAGAAAAATATTTGGACAAGTGTCGTGAAAATAGCAATTTATCGTTCCAGTTATTTTTCTTAGCCCTTTTTAACCTGATAACGCTACCTCGATTTTAGGTGAAGTTCCAATAAGACCGAAAGAAAAGGCGTCGGACAAAGCGGACGACTTGAACATGTCCGCAGCGTCCCCCCTTACCCGTTCTTCTTCCGCGTCGGAAAAGCACGAGTCGAGCAGTTCGTGTTTCGGGAAGCGTTTGGGATCGCTAAAAAAAAATCAAAAAGTTGACAACAACGAAACGAAAACGGCCACCTTTCCGAAGGGCACGAAAGTGTTCGATTTCAAAAGTAACCGCAGCCTGCCCAGAGAACACAGGATGCAAGAGACCGGCAGGGAGTGCGAAGAATACACGGTTTTTCATCTACATTATACCTCCGACAAAAATTTGTCGTTGGGAAAGAAGTCCTACGAGATGATCTATTGCCCTGAGACCGTGAACGACGTGCAATTCGCCCAGAATCGTATGCTAGACGACATCATGTGTAACGAGACTCCCAAAAAAGGGTCGAAAGTGAAGAGACAGCGAAGCATTCCTTCCTACGATAAGAAATCTTCGAATAGGATAGGCGATTCGTCTGCCGGCAGAGTTAAATTGAAATCGGCGGTGCAGTATACCCCGATGTCTTTGCCGTTAAGCCACGATTCCAAAACAAAACCAAAATTCGCGTTCGAGTTGAATCTGGACGAGAAGCAGCACAGTAAGGGGGGAAAACTGAAGCAGATGTTCGGCGGGAAACACGAGAAGAAAGAGAAGACGTTCTTGGGCTCGCCGAAGCTGCACGGGGTCATATTTAAGAAGCAGCCATCGGGGGGAGACGCTGGTTGGTCTTCGACTTCCTCTTCTGTTCAGGTAAGTGTGAAGCTAGGTTTGGTTTTCATTTTTCGGGTGGAAATTTTATTTTTCAAAAAAAAAGGATCCCTTGACGGAGACCACATGCCGGAATCTAATAATAGGTTGATTAGAGTCTTAGAAAGTGGAGCAGTTTGAATTCAATGAGAAATATCAGGTCATATAAAATTCGGTTAATACTTAATGACATAGTTTCAAAAAATAATGAGAATGTTTTCTTTATGCAGTAGTATCAAATAACAGCCACGCAGTAGATAAGTTTACCTCAAAATATTAATACAAGCATGAACTTGGATGACCATAGTTCAGAGGTCTTATGAGCTATGGGGAGGAGGGCATATAATCTAATAGATTTCATTCAAAAAAATAACTTTTTAGTTGAAGAAATTCGTATTTAAAAAAAATATATTGCCTTGCTTAACTAATATTTTTACTTTTATATTATTAGAAAGGTAATGGTGAACTAACCAAAAATTAAACCAATATAAAACTTTAACCCTCAATTTTTTTGTAACTGTTGTCGTTTCCTTTATAAGCCATAAATAAGAAATATATTTTGATTACCGCCATAATACCTACCTAAAATGTCTTAACAAATATATCAATTGGAAAAAAAAAATCATACGGAAATTTTTGAACAACATTGAAATTTTCCGGAATGTTTGTGTCATTTCGAAAAACAACAATAGCCTTCACATAAAAGAGACCAAGTTCACAAGAACACAAACATTTATAGTTTTGTATGAGTTTTCAAGTAATATGGAATTCCTTGGAAACGTTTCTGAAACTTACCTAGGTATCTTATAACAATATTGCTCTGGCAATAAAACTTAAGTTGACTTTGGAATACTAATAGTTTTGATAATTTTGCAAATTACCAAAAAGCTATTTATTAAGAGTCTAAAACTAAAAGGCAATCACCTCACCTTTGAGTTGTTATTTATTTTTGTTTTTCTTTTATAAATACATTATCTAGATAAACTTTAGAATGATACTAAACATGCTTTTTAAAATTATGCAAACGAAAAAAGTTTTATAAGAGTAAGAACATTTTTAAGAATGCTATAAAGCCTTTTTAAAAAACCTGAAGTAACCAAAAACGTTTTGGATGCAACATCCTACAACTTAGAGTGTTTTGGTATACATTTGACACAATGTATATGTGTTAATGTATACGATGGCTTTCATATAAAACTATTAAAACTGTTATAAAAGCTAAGGTTTCTTATAAAACTCTTATAAATCTCCGTTTTCTCAAAAAAAAAAAAAACATAAGCTTCGAGAAATGTTAGTTTGGGATTAATTTTCTCTCTATAGTATTGGAATTGTAGCAGCCAACTGTATATAGTCTTGAATATATTAAATCATGATTTTTATGCGAGTTGTTGGTTTTAGACCACTCCCTTGTGCAAAAATAACCTACCACTGGAGAATTCGCCCCAAGTAGCAGTACCATTTCCTCTTAGTATTCGGCCCCACGCGGACTACCCAGGTTTGGAATACCCACCGGTGTTCGAGGCGGAAACGTACTCTCTTGCCGATCCTCAAAGCAGTTTGAATTTGATAAGGAAGCAAAAAAAGGACAACGAAAATGTGGGAGGGGCGGGTAAATAGTGGGACCTTATGGTCGGACTTTAATTTAATTTAATTAAAAAACATTGCGTTTTGATGATAAAACGTCGCTGCAGGAAATTTTCCGCTGGCCGATATAAGACTGCATAATTCCAGTGAAGAAAACACCAATTGATTGTGATATTCGAGATATTATGAGAGAACAGTATAAATTTTCAGAAACAGAAGTAACCAGACGAACCCTGGCTTGGCTGACCTTAACTGACTGAACTAACCAAATTAAAAATGTTTTCAAAATTCAAATTAACCAAATTATTGTATCTGATACATTGGTGAGCAAAAGTAGCTAATGTCCTACAAATTAAGTTGATCAAAAAGAAAACTACACCAAATATACCATACCTGGGTTTGGATGGTTTGTAGATGTTATTGGACAAACTAGTATTCAAAAAGTGTTTAGTTTTCTTAAACGGCGATCTATTTCTATAGGTACCTATTATTTTGATTGTCCAAATGCAACAGTGATGGAAAAAACTTTTAATGGAAGTTTATTCACATAAATGTTGTCAATTTAAAGCTGTAAACCAAGACTTCCACATGGGACAGATGCATACACTTTTTATGTACATTTGAAAGCAAATATTATATTTAAACGTTTTATCTCAAATTTCATTTAAATACGAATTTAGTTGTAAATATTGATATTGTACCCTTTAAAATGCTCTTTTTTTAAAGAAATTTTAAATCATTGCTTCTTTTTGTTATGGTCTATTGTAGTTGTAAGATTGTATACGGTGAAGTTACTACAATAACACATTGAAAAGAAAAAGGTTAAGCAAAAATTAGTTTTTATTAGTAAAAAGAAAGAAATAAGTGGTTTTGCTTCTAATTGTCTTGATGTGTTATTATTGTAAGGTGTTGCTCAGTATTATTTTATTTACATATTATATTGCCGGTGTAGTGCCAAATCAAAATCCTATTTAATAAAAAAACATTACAAAAGTGAACGTTTTTTTATTTTCATTTTAATCCATGTAGAAGTTATATTAAAAAAATATTTCAAAAGTGTCACTTTTAATATGCAAGGTATATTATCACAGTCAACATTATTTTTAATCGAACTTTATATGAATTGATTTTATTGAAAGTGTTACAATAAATTGCGTATTTTCTTACCTTCTTGTTTTTTTTATTTCTCTCTCTAATATAACAGAATTTCTTTCTAAACTTAATAGTCTTTAATGTTTACTTTAATTTAATTTAATATAACTATAGATAAATATAATATATAATCGGTAGTAGTTTTTAATCAAGACACGGGTACTTCGTGGCAAAGCGGACACCTGTCTTTTACGTTCAACCATTTCCTCAAGCAGATTCCGTGGAAAAGGTGATTGCACTCGGTCACTTTGGCGTTTTCCATTGGCTGATAGCAGATAGCGCAGACGTCGTCGTAATCATACAGTTGCAACCAAGTAGCGTCTTGTAACCTCTCAATTTTTCTCATTGCCGCTCTGCGTTTTAAGTAATTTCTCCAGTCGATTCTGGCGTAGTTCCAGATGTTGAAATACGCTTGGATGCACAAAACAACCATTCTAACCACTCCCGTGCTTTCGTATATCATTATATACACTCCGATGACAAATAAAGCTACATGGAAACCCACTTCGATTAAACTGCTCAGAGATTCGGCGTAGAAAATGTAGTCGTCCAAATGTTCCCAGAAAGAGTTTCTATTGGCATCGTACACATATAATCCATATTTGATGAGCACAAAGAAAACTTTTTCGAAAATCCCGACGCAGAAGATTGAGATGGTGAGTAGCCATGCAGATAATGGTTGCGTGGTCCATAAGAAATACAAAATGCCGAGAGAACAGAGAACCAACGCCAGGCTTACCCCCAGATTAGACGCGTGCTTCTTCTTGGACGGATTATGAGACGCCGCCAAGTTGATTAGGATAGGGTTATGGATGTTGTGGACAAAGTGAAGCAGAGTGCCAAACAAAATGCACAAGTTCTGGCATACGCCTATGAATCTCTCTTCCGGATCCAGACCCGATAAACCGTTTTGGATAGCCAAAGTGTAGAACACTATGGCAGACGCCGAGCCAAAGTCGCTCCTGTTTTCTGATTGGAGAAAAGTTTGTATCGACTTTCCCAGCGAACTGGAAATCGAGGAGATAAAACTCGTGAACCCCAAGACCGCAATGGGAGAATCGCAACTACTAGTCAGCAAATGTTTTAAAAGAAGATAGTGGGAGAATTGATCGCCGTCTGCATCGTGGGATTTTGAGACATAAAATCTGACTACTTGTTCCAGGGTTCGTAATAGCCAGAAAAATTTGAACACTGTAGGTAGCTGCAGCCTTGTCCATTGGTATTCCACCAGAGCGGAGAAACCGTAATTTGAAGCGAATGTCTTTGCGTGAGTGTAGCTAGAATGTAGCGAGCGAAACGCATTCTTTATAAAATCCCACGAGGCGAATCTGGTTGCGACAAGGGGAAAAAATGCCGAGGCCAGCAGCGAATATCGAAGTATATAGGGTGGTGCCGACAAAATTGATAAAATTGTGGGCACGAAAAACGAGACGGGTAATAACTTCTTCACGATGGAGTGTCTAACGCCTAAATGCGCGTGTATGAATAGGAATATCAGGAACGTTTGGACCGATAAGTTAATCGCAAGCTCATTAAGCAACATCGGGTGTTTGATTATTACTGTTGGATCCATCTGAAAGGAGTTTTGAAGTACGTCGGTTTGGCGGTTAAGTAATATCATTTTTGCTATAGTAGCGTTGCTCCAATACGAAAGGAACACTGTGGCTACCGAGATCAGGTGGAGGAACAGTACCATGAGTTGCTTTGAGTTCAAAGCAAACATGCACATCGCCAGCAGACATCCTAAAACAAAGAACAAAATTACTTTAACAGATAAATGCAATGTGGATGAAATGTTTTCATTGTGGTGTTAAATTGTCGGATTACATTTTCATACTGGGTGTTCAAAAAATATGCGCAACACTCGGTTGGTAATTCATCATGTAAACAAAGAAAAAGGTTCATATAAACGTATTGCCGAAAATGCTTAGTTTCCAACAACGGCCTGTGCGAATATGCTTAGGTCATAGAATAGCGGTCATTTTCAAATTATCTTCAGTATTAATTTTTTAGAATTAAGTTTATTGTGATAGACTACGCAAATAATCTAAGAGTCAAAAAAGTTGTACTTTTAATCTATGGCTTATTGAAAGTAAATAACATTTGCAAAAAAGTCCTTGGCGTACTAATTTTAATCTTTTAATACTTCAACAAAATCAGCCGAAAAGGATTTAACAAAACTAATTTCTCATAAAGTATGTTTTTTGAAATACCCTGTATGGCAAATGTCATAATGGTTTAGCATTTAATGATGTAAATTTCCAGGAAACATGTTTTTGAAAATATTAATTTAAAAATTGGAAACAAATACAAGATTAAAAATAAATAAGAAATAGCTGAAAAAATAACAATAAAATATAGAACCTGAACACAAATAGTTTTACTTAAAAACAATATAAATAGCGTCAAATTTGTAAAAACAATTATTTTTGATAAACGTTAACCTGGAAAAATGTTTCAGTACAAAAAAATACGAGTTAATGTAATTTCGTATTTAGTTTCCAAAAAAAAAAAAAAAAAATTAATGACCTTTTTTTCTCGAAAACGACCATAAACGAGCCGTTAATAAGAGTGAATGTTTGGAAATTGGTTGGGAGCAAAAAGTTTACGTATCCTCGCTGCCTTCCCACCTAAATAAAACCGGGTAGACTTGGCAACCATGTACACGTGAGTTCCAAAACGCAGGAATGACTTGGCAATATAAGGAAGGCGACTTTTTAAGCGCAAATCGTAATACGAAGCAAGCTTATACTCTTATGATAAACGTTACAAATTATATCTGATTAGTATGGACTCTGTAGTAGAAAATTCGTTGAAATCCACATTTTAAAAGCAAAAAAAAGAACAAAAATTAAATTAAATAAAATTAAATTAGTTAGCTTTAGATAAATAATATATTCTGTACTATATATTGTAAGTACATACTTAAGTAAAATATATTTTATAGAGTGGTTTGATTTTTATATTGTGTAGGATTTTAGCTAGGTTGTATAGCTACTTTGTCCCAAATTATACAGCACAAAGAAAATAACCAGAACTCAAACCAATAATTTACACATTACACACCTAAGGCGCTCAGAATGAGCCGGATCCCTCCTAAAACTATAAACTTGTAAGTGCCCGGATCGAGAGTTATCGTGTTGTTAAAGAACCGGGTGGTATTTTCCAGCGATTCGACGTCCGATAGGCGCGAATCGAACCTCAAAATCTCGTCGATCACAAACAGCGGCGGCACCCTCAAAAAAATGTGAATTACATCGAAAAATCCGGGTACCAGAGCGGACATTGGCTGCGACGTTGTCTCGGAAGCGAAATTTTTGACCGATTGTGTTTGGGTACTGACGGTCGGGACAATTATTGTTGACATAAGTTAGTAACAATTTCTCCGGCGTTGCCAAGAGTTACGCGACCGCGCTGGTGGGGTATTTAATTCAATTCGATAAGAAAATCTTGATTTGTTTTGGACTTTTAATTGCGGGTCTCCATTACGCACGAATTTTAATGAGCTGATGATTTTTAATAGAATTATATACACATTTCCGACTGGTAACTGTAGATTTTATCGAACAGCTTTAGATATATGTACTTGTTTACAAAATGCTCCCGATTATATTACTTTTTACGATAATAAAATGACGTAATTGATAGCAATTTCAATTTTTATATAGTGCCGTTTGTATTTTTGTCAAATTAAACGGGGAGGTTTCTTTTTTAAAAAATTTTATTTTACAACATTTGCCGTATCATTTCGCGTTACATTTTGCAAAATTTGTATGAAATTTTGAACGTTTTGATGATATTATAAATGGTCATAACAACGGTAACCCTATACTTATTAGTTTTATTTTGATGCTCATATATAATAAGGAAAATTTTTGAGGGAATAGTTAGAATTTCTGGCTTAGGTCAGAATTTCTAAAAAAATAAATTCGCATTTCTGGAAAATAAGTCTAAATTTCTGGAGAATAAGCCAGAATTTGTAGATAGTAATTCTGAATTTCTGACTTATGTCAGACTTTCTGAGTAATTAGACATAGGCATCTCGTAGGGGACAGTGAATATCGAAACATATGATTAGCGTGATTGGCACTGTCCCTTATGAGAAATTTATGTCTGACAATTTGACTTTTTTTCAGAAATTCTTACGTATAATAACATAATAATAAATAAATTAATAATGTAATTGTTATTAATTTAATTTAATTAAGTTTCCGCTATTTCCGCACTAAATATTTGAAATTTGATAGAACGATGGAGCTCAGGCCGCTAACGGAAACTATTGAAAATGGCAAAGATGGCGGGTGGTCAGAAAGTAATTTTATAAATACAAAAAACCATTTCTGTCGGCTTCAAATCAATTTTTCTTTTAAACCATAAGTAAAATTACCTTTTCGGATAATGTATACCCTATTGAGAACTACAATTTTCGTATTTAGAGCGGGCTGTGAAGAAAAGAAGTAGACTTATTAGGCTGGCTATTGAAATTGAAAAACATGAAAATTATGCTATAATCTTCTAGCGGAGATAATTTTACCTTAAAATTAAAGGCAATAACCAATTCTCAAAAAACCATTTCTTAATTTAGGTTAGTTTGCTTATTAGAATTCTAAAATAGAAGAATATTATTCAGGATAAGAGTGGCAGGTACATGCGTGCACAAAATTTTCCCCAATGATTGTAAAAGTGAAACAATTGGTGCTATTTAAACTAAAAATTTTGAAATAAATCCGTTGATCAATATTCAGCAACGATTTTTCTCAAACCACACACCCAATGAAAATTATAACAGAGCCACTAGTAATGCTCTATTGTGCTCATGCAGGTAGGATGAGCTGGTCAAAGGTTCATGTAAATATTGAGATTGGAAGTTAATGCCGTTTCACATATACGCTTGTATATATTCAGTGAACGGCTAAAATATGGAACAAATTTTTTGCAGTAAAAAAAAAAATATAAGCAGGATCAAAAAGTAAATTTTGATACCAAGTTCCCCTTTTTCAATTTTGTGTGAAATTTCACACGTAAGTGATGGAATAAAAATGAAAAATTTAATTTTGAAAAAGATTGTCTACGGCCAAGTCGTGAATTAGCTTCAAATAATGATGTTAGTCAACGTATTAAAAGAAGAAGGCTTTCATCCGTACACGATTACATTACTGCAGTAGCTAAACGAAGATGTTTCCGACCGCACACTACAGTTTTATGAAAATATGATAGAAACGAGCAACTAAAATCCATTCTTTCATTGTCAGATACTGCTTAGTCATGAAGCCACGTTTCTTTTAAATCGCACGGTAAATGCACAAAAAAAAATATAGAAAATATCTACAAAAAAATAATGTTTTAGCAGGCATTTTGAATAACAAAATTATTGGACCTAGTTATGTACAATGAGTTCTACGTAATAAGGATAGGACACCGTGAGATCTACGATGTCAGCATTTGGCCACGATGGTACTATGAAGAGACCGCGAGATTCACATTGTCAGCTTTTCGGATACGAACCTATAAAGTCTTAGTTTTAAGTAATATGATTATTCTTGTTGTAACTACTGCTGCAGAAAACTCTTAATTTTCGATTGTATTTTGAAAATAAAGTTTATAAAAAGTCATCTCGTCTTCGCTTGAACATAATTGGCGCAGTCGGTAGGATTGTGCCCTCGGAATTCGGAAAACGAAAAAGCAGAGACAATTCGCGTGTGTACGTCGCATCGTGCGGAAAAGTGACACTTACCGAATTAGGCTACCCTGAGGAGTGGTTTCAACCGCTACAGCGCAATCCAAAGAACTTGTTGGCGAACCCAGAGAAGACTCTCGTAGGCAGTGTGCAACAAAGAATCGGGGAAGGGAAAACCGTAAGTGCGATTTTTTCCTTTCGCCCCTTTAAGATCCTCTGTTAAGGCTTTTAATAGGGATAATTTTAGGCAAGACGTATCGGACGTCAAGTAGTTAGGGAAACATTTTTTTTTAATCGATCAATTATTGATGTTAAATTGCGAATCAGAAACAAGCTGCGAATATTTGAAAGCATTAAGTAGTGATGTAGAATCTGAAATTAGTGAAATTTTCAAAAATCTAACCTTTAGTGAAAGAAAAATATCAGAAAAAATGACAGACCAAGTAAATTGGAATTTATTTAAATCAAAATTGCAAAACATTCAACCTTACGAAGGTGATAGCAATACCTTAAATAAGTTTATCAACAGATGCGAAAGCTTAATTAATGGTTACGCTTCCCTTGCAAATTCGGAATTAAATAAACATATTTTTGAATGTATCCAGGAAAAACTGGTAGGCAGAGCCGCAGTTCTAGTAGGTAATCGCACTGAAATTAGTGATTGGAAAGCATTGAAAGATGTATTGACTCAATGTTTTTCCGATCGCCGATATCTGAATTGTTTAATCCAAGAAATAGTTAGGACTAGGCCCAATAAAAACGAACACTTGATAAATTTTGGAAGTAGACTTCAATTATTAAGGAGCGACATTGCACAGCGTATAAGTAACGAGTTTAAATATACACCGGAAGAAAAGCTTTCATATATTAAACATTATGATCAAACTGCCCTAAATACATCTATCGCAGGGTGCACAGGCGTCTTAAAAAATAATATGCATTTAAGAACACCGCAAAGTCTCGAAGACACCATGGCATATGTAAATGAATTCGAAAATTTTGAAAGATTGTATGGGACTCTGAACGAGCCTTATAAATCTCAAAAACCGAACTTCCAAAATTTAAACAGTACACCGACAAATCAACATAACAACAACAAATGAATTTAAATATTGATTTAAATAACAAAATACTTTCGAATAAAACAATTCAAATTCCTTTTAAGTTCCGCGAACCCGCAGATTCAAAATTTTCATTTTCGATAAACTCTCATGAGAAAATTTTTAAGACTTTGCCAGTTAGCGTTTTTAAAGGCGATATTTTAGTACCACCTACTGAAATAAATAACTTGTTTATTCCTAGAACCCTCTCCCACGCGAGAAACGGATTCGCACCCGTTGAACTACAAAACCACACCCATAAAACCATTAACACGACCTTGTTGCAACCAATTCGCGTAGAATCGTTTATACAGGAAGTATTCGAAATATATTCTTTCGAAACCATAAAAAAATTCGATAAAAATAAATATTTTCAAAATTCTCCCTCAAAAATCGATATAACAATCAATCACTAAATTATGCGACGAATTTAAAGACATTTTTTATAAACCAGGCGACGCGCTAACATTTACATCCAAAATTCGACACGAGATAAAAACCACTGACGAAGTTCCGGTACACACAAAATCATATCGTTACCCGTATGCCCATAAAGAGGAAATAAGGAAACAAATAAATGAAATGTTAGGGAAAGGTATAATCCGTCCTTCAACGAGCCCTTGGAGCTCTCCCGTTTGAATCGTTCCAAAAAAAATCGATGCCTCAAACGTACAAAAGTGGCGCGTAGTAATAGATTATCGTAAATTAAACCTTAAAACAATCAACGATCAATTCCAAACATTTCTGATATACTAGATAAGTTAGGACGATCACAATACTTTTCGGCTTTAGACCTAGCGAGCGGCACAAAATTCGATAGAAAAAACAGCGTTTTCCGTGGAAAACGGACATTATGAATATCTACGAATGCCATTTGGCTTGAAAAATGCGCCGAGTACTTTTCAACACGTTATGGACGAGATCCTTAAAGATCTTCAGAGTAAAATTTGTATGGTCTATATGGACGACATAATTATTTTTAGTACAGGCTTGTAGGAACACATTCAAAATTTGCGCCTTGTATTTTTGAAATTACGCGAAGCAAAATTAAAAATTCAACTGGACAAATGCGAGTTCCTAAGAAAAGAAATCGAATTTTTAGGGCACGTAGTGACGCTAAAAGGCATCAAACCAAACCCGAAAAAGATCGAGGCCATTCAAAAATTTGCGATACCTCGTCACAAAAAGAAATTAAACAATTTTTAGGCTTGCTCGGATATTATCGTAAATTTATACAAAATTTTGCGAAGATCACCAAACCATTAACTCAATGCCTAAAGAAAAACCAGAAAGTAATACAATCTAAAGAATTTGTGGATTGTTTCCAACATTGTAAAAATATACTAACATCAGAACCAGTACTTGCGTACCCCGAATTAACAACTGATGTATCAAATTATGCTATAGGAGCAATATTATCGCAAAATGGTCACCCAATTAGTTATGCATCCAGAACGTTTAACCCCGCGGAAATAAACTATTCGACCATCGAGAAGGAACTGCTGGCAATTGTATTTGGTTGTAAATACTTTAGACCATATTTGTTTGGACAAAAGTTCTCTGTCCTCACGGACCATAAACCCTTAATCT